GGTAAACAAAAAATTTATTAATTAATTAAAAGATTTTGGTGTCTCATGGTCCACATTTTAATTTGGAGTTTTGTAGTGGATTTGAATTATTGTAATGATCATGTTTGATGGCCAATTTTCACAGTTCCTATTCGGGTTCTACAAACAACAAGAAAAGAGCCGTCTGCAGGGAGGTATGTGCTGCTTTACTGCAGGGACATGCCAAACTAGATTTGTGCGTGCACATCAATCTGTCTGTAGAGCTCAGTGTAACATCAGTATAATTTTATTGACCCGTGTGTTTTGTTGTTGATGTTTATTTGCTTTTTATATAAAATGTCAAACAGTCAAAGCAACTGCTGTATAATCATGATTATTACTGTTCACCCTGAGGATCAGTGTAGTAATATTCTATATTTTTCTTATTGTCAACAAAAGTGGGTCACAAATATATAGTTTCATTAAGGAAAAGGGCTAAATTAGTTCTGGGCACTGTAGTTTTATCAAAGGTTTCTTAAACAGAAAGATATAAAAGTGTTTGTTTAGGGACTATTTTCAGCAGCGTATTAATCCACATTTGGTCTTCTTGTGAGCATTTTCAGAACAGGATGGACAGTGTGTGAGTCAAAATAAATGTGTTTTGTGACAACCTGCACCTCTCAGGTTGCACCACCCGTGAAAACCGCCATTTCACACTTGCTCGGCAGTTAGACCTCCAATTTGCTCAGAGATGGCGCCAACACGGAGCCTGCTGAGGAGCAGTTTAATAGAAAGGCCATGTAATCCCTTCCGCCTTTCAAATACCGGCAGTAGAGGATCATTGATTTACGGACTGAATTTAATTTGCTACATTAAATGAACTGAATGGAATTGCTTCTTGAACTGCATTGAACTGAACCCGGAGAGGACATTTGAGTTGCGTTTATTATTTGCTTATGTGAAACATTTAATTACAACCTCCCTTTGTTGCATTTTAAATCAGGCTTGTGGATTTACTGTACACTGGTTATTTGCATTCAATGTGAGGGTCCTTATCATAAATTTGTATCCTTAGTGACATTTGGTGATTTCAAACTTAAATTTGTACATATCATAAAATATCTTTTATGTCGGGAGAGAAACCTGACTGGCACCCCAAAAAAGCCCGTAAGTTGGTTTCATAGTTTTAATGTTGACAGTAGGAAAATGAGATATATATAAATATATATACACACACACACACACACACACAAAAACACACACACAGGATTAAATGGGGAAATAAAAGCTGCTGACTGTCTTTTAGGTGTTCTGTTGGGTGAAATAGTGACGAATCTTACCAAGATGGCCGTCCCAGACCCAAAATCGAGTCTGAAAATGATGATGCTGTCAGCGGTGAGTTAGTTAACGACACTAACGCTATATTACTTTAAATAACTGTTTTTTTACCTAGTCAAGCTAGCTGTTTCCAGCTAGTGTGCAAAGCCAAGCCAACAGTCGCCTGGCTGTAGCTTCTCCTCTAAACTCTCAAGGAGGCAAGTATAGTAGAACTATTTCTTTGTCTGACTTTCCACAGCATGACACCGCTGTAGTCGCTCTTCAGGCCAGCTTGAATGTGTTCAATGAAAAACAGCCGCCATATGCCTCCTGTCAAATACTTGAGTTGTACAGGCATGACAATGGGTAAAATACACACAAACACACTTAAACATACAGTAATACTGACACACATAGGCTCCATGTGATATTGAGAAGCTGATACCAGAAAGAAAGAAAATATACTAAGTGGAATAAATGGACGAGACTTTTACTTTGAAACACAACCAGATTCAACTGTGTCAAAAATACAAGGGTGAAGGAGCCAGTTGATTTAAATGAGCTTTTATGATTCTTTAAGGCTCCTAATAATTTGAGACACTAACCAGTACTTTTATCCTTATTTTCCATGAGGACTTTTTGTTGGTTTAAAGTACTAAAAGTGGATCTTAAACATGTTTAAATGTTTAATCAAACATGTTTAAATGTTGTCCATTCAGCTCTTTTTCGGTGTCAATGTTTTACCGAAACGACACCACAGTGGAGCCCTACCCTCAGCAGTTACCAGGCTGCTCCCTTGACTGCCCCCTACACGAGTTTGTGAGAATTACAAACCACTCTATCTCAGAGGACTGGAACAAAGAGTGTAATGGGCCCTCAAGAGGGAGAAATGAAGGTGAACTTCTCTCACAGTAAAAACTGCTCAAATAAAAGAAATAAGGTGAGCACCACTGATCCATTTTATCCATTCTTCCTTCCTCTCCTCTGTCCATCTTCTTTTGTCTTCAGACGTGATCATCAGTCTGTTGCTGTCCGACTGTGTGCTCCTCCTCCTCGTCGCCCTCCTCCTCGGCATTATTTGTTGGCAGGCAAAGCAAAACAGCAGCCGGGAATATGTTATGTAAGAATATCATTCATAGTGTTTTATATATATCATTCTGTGTCTTTTATATATTCATCTGGAAACATTAAGAATGTAATCTGTATTCTAAACTCATTGTGAACTCTGACTAAACTTCATGTTTTGATACATTTGGTTAGTTTTGGTTTCAATTATGCGAGTGCACTTAAAGAACTTTACATGGCAGACTTGTGTCCTGTCTTCATCATCTCTGTGGGTCTGCGTCTCCCTATTGACATTGATTGGTTTGTAAACAGTTCCGTGGGTAGCTTTGACAAATAAATGAGACATTAACAGATGCATATCGTTGCCACTACATTGTTATTATACCTTATTATATATATTACTACCTTAGATGGAAAGCTACATTAGGAGCCTTACACCCAGTACCAGAGCCTGATGTTTTTGAAGTGTGCCTTGTTTGCTGCTCTCTGTAAGTCTAGGTTAAACACATAAGAATGTGTGCACATCCAAACCAACCTGTGTGTAAGTGATGAAGCAAAGAATGACCTGCGCACTGAGTAATTATAAATCCATCTAGGTGGTGTAATTTATTGTGACGTTACTGTAAAATGTAAGAGCTGATTGCACCTGTGGTAAATAAGGGCATCTAAACCTTCTCAGAGGACGCAGTAAATGACACCTCCTACTTGGCTTCAACATTATTCAGTGTGCAGATAATTATTTTTTTCTCAAAATAGAGTGTAACTTCTCAGTGAATGTCACATTTGTCTCTCTAATAAATGTCCAAATAAAACCAGTATAGAGCATCAGCTTTTCTTTATTTTACTTTCTACTAACATGCAAAATGTTAACCTATAAACACCATTTTAATATTTTCATTTGCAGCTGTTAACTATAGTATATTAACTTTAGATCACACTATTTCCAATTAACAAAGGAAACTGATGATGAATGAAGAATGTGATTTAAATTTTTACAATATTTTGTCTGATCCATTTTATAACAAAAATTATCCTTAATACACAAGCAACAAAGCTGTGGAGCTGGACGGTGCTTTATCTGAATGGGTTCTGCAATCAGCTCCTCTGGTACCTGAAAGACAAGATGGGTACAGAGTTACTGACAGTATACAGTTTTTTATAAGGGACCAAAAATGAATTTAAGAATAAATAAATAAATATAAGCAAAAATAAATAATTAAATACATAAATAAATTAAAATCAAATATATTTCTGTAATGAAAAAGGTTATTTCGGTATTTATTCTGTATTTATTAATGCATTTCTACATGGATTTATTTCTGTATTTCCATATTTCTACATTTATTTATGCCTGCGCCTGTATGTTAATTGGGCAGTGGGCCGTTACTCACCATACATCTATATTTTGCTCTTTAGCACACCGGCACTTCTCACAAGCTGCCAGTGTTTTCTAACCTATCTATTCATCATGTGACCCTAAATAAACAGCATTACCCAGGAGACACTGTATGATGATTGCTCACCTGTTCTGCTTTTCCTGCTAATCTCTGTATACAGTTTATGGTGAGCAGACAGATACCAATCACAGTGTGGAGAGGAAAAAAAGTTGCACTACGCCAAACATTAGAAATGTTGAACTCGTTCTGCGTGAATAGTTATGTACGGATTAGGAAGCCCTAAGCAGCCATCCACTCAAATATTTTTCTTACTCCGTTTTCCCGTTATAATTCGATAATTATCTCGTGATCTCGACATAACCAAACAGTAATTTAACATAGGGGTCGGCAGGAGCGTTTCTAAATGATATCTTCAAAGGGGTTTTCTGTGTCATGGTGGTTGTCTCTATTATAGCCTACTACCAGGTTAGGTGCACATTAAAGTCAGCAGTAAGTCAGTGAACATTTAGAGTGTAAAGTTAATGCAAGTGGTAAAATTCACTAATATTTACTCTTATTTATACCTACACCTTGTTGTAGTCCTTTACAATAAAATTTATTACTACTTTAAAATTTATACTTTACCATATCCACCTTACACTTAAAACAAGTAAAACTTTAAATGTTTGCGGGAGGGACAACAACCACCATTACATCCATGTCTTAATACAACCTATTGAAATTAATAACATTTACCCTCAAGGTTTAGTTTGTAGTTTAGTAGTAGTGCGACAGCTCCCTTAGCACTTGTTGTTAAACTGCACATTCATTTTAAAAGCTGAAAAGCTTGTTGTTAAAAGACAGTACATTTAAAATCTCTCTTAAAACTGAAAAATGTGGGTTAAAACTGAGAAAGTATAGATGCTGTTTGTTGACAAGCACGCACCATACAGTCTATGACACGCACACGGATCCATCACTTCCGTTTTCTCTTTCTCTGTCAAGTCAGGTATTTAAGCATACTCTTTATTTCAAAATAAAATGTGTGCAAAACAACATGTGCCTTCATTCATGAATAAAATATAAGGCCTCGGTGAAAATTAAGTACAGCCTTAAAAAATAAATAGAAAAGATATTTCCTTTTTTATTAACGTACTGTGTTCCCGCAGTCTTGCACGGTTTTGTGTGAAAAGTATACGCTACATTTTACTATTTAACTTCCGGTATGGTTGCGGCTAAGGTAACCATGGCTGACTTGATGTAGCTCAGGGCAGCTAGGAGACCAAACCGACAATCAACTATCTGCAGTTAGCAAATACAGGCTAGCTGCCCGGTCATACAGACGGGAATATGGTGTCCACTGCTGTGCTCTTTCTGTTAACTGTCGGCTGTGTCTGTGGGAAAGCTGCAGCAGAAAGGGAACTTGTATATGTGACTGTGGTGAGTAATATTAATATTTGGTATAACTCTTCCGAAGCTGTGTTGCAACTGTGTAACCGATCCGCGTCGTTTCTCTTCGGTGTGGATCGACGCCTGCGGAACTGTATTCAAAATTTAGGAGATTTAGTTTTTACTTTGCTTTTATGTAAACATGTATATTAGTCTGATCACGAATTAAGCCTAAGACACATAATGTGAGTATTTTAGTGAATTCGGCGTATTAAAAATCCAAGTAGCAAAAATTCAAAGTCGTGAGACACCACGAAACAACAACAGCACTTCAAAAAGAACAAAACAGGAAATAACGTTAGTTTAACGTTAGCTAGTGCCAGCTATGCATTACATGCCTTAATAACCTGTCTTACTTGTCAGACTGAAAATGTATGTTAAAATGTTTGGAACAAGTTACAGCATTGGTCATTATAGTTTCATTATAACAACAATGCAAACATCAAACAACACTTGGGAATAGCTGATGTTCTTTGATTCATATCTAATCTCTGAAGAATTTTTGGTCAGATTGATAATTGTAGAAACCTCACTCGTCTCAGGGACACATTAATGAAGCACTGGCCTAAGTATTTGCAGATGCCCTGGACCTGTCTTTTCACAGCTCATCAGGAATGCCGTCCTGCCCCAGGGAATAAATGCAGTATAGTCAGGGATACAGAAGTTAGTGTCTTGACAGAGCAACGGTGAGAAACATTATATTGTCTTCACTGCAAGAGGATACAGTTACGCAGATAGAACACACGCAAGCACAATTCTGTATATCTCCTTAGGCTGTGCAAATATTTTGTGAGAGCATTTTAAATGCTTGTTTAGACCTTGATGGATGTATAAAGGTTGTCTTATCCTCTCCGAGTCCTTGACCATTATCTATATAGAGTACTAACCGGTGACTTCACATTAGTGTATTTTGTCATGTCCTCCTTGTGAGCGTCAGTGAATTTAATTGGGGAGAGTATGGACACACTCGCAGGAGGCTGATAATGTTAGCATTGCATTGCCATACTCTGTTCATTCCAGAGATAACACACTGTGGCAAGCTGTAAATGCAAACGTTGTGACTGATGAAAGTCCTTTTTCTTTTAGCGTAACAGACAAGGACTCTGTGAGGACTGAGATAGCATTGGACACACTCCTGTTTTCCCATGTTTAAAGGCTCTTTATTGAGCATCTTGCATGCGAGAGGGAGGCCAGGTCAGAGGGTCAACATAGATTTTCTCATATGAAAGTTTTGTCGACTGTTGTTGCAACTGCTATTGAGGGCGCTTAATGGCGCACAGTCCTTTTTTTTGCACTCATTCTTAGGAATGGTTCCCCAGTTGACTGCTACATAGCCATTAAGGGATCAAGTTTAGAAGATTAGATGGTCTAAAGCCCTTCAAAAATAAATTATACTTTATTTATTTTGGATGGATCAGTCATGCATGCTCTCCACTCCAGAAAACCACAAACCCACACTTCTCTTTGGTGGCTCGAAGATTGAAACTTGAAACTGTTCTACTTGAATAGACAAGCTCTTGTGGTGGCATCCAGTAACAAAATCTAATTGACTGGATACAGTTATTACTTTCAACTTACACCAACATTAAAGTTCAAAACATAAGTTCTTTATAGTCAAAGGAACAGTTTCAAGTAAAACACCCAGTTAAAAATAAACATAGTTCCCCTTGTACAGTATGTTGAGTAATTGTAGGTTTCTTTAGTATTGTACTTTTAAATCCTGTCCTAACATTCACTTATTAAATGGCATTCACACTTTTTATTATCAGCCTAGACTTCCTTTTGTTTTGTTTTCCAGACATGCTTATACTGCAGTTTGTAATCGGTTTTAGGCCTGTTGTGTTTTGGAGTCTTCAGTTATCATATTTTAGCTGGTTATGGATGACATTGCGGTGTCAGACCAACACTTGGTAAGATCGTTATCATCAGCTGACTGAATATTATAACAGATAAAATTAGGATGGAGGTTTTGGTTTGATTCCTTTTGTTTTTTTTTAGAGGAGCTGCATGGAGTTTTACAAACGTTCCACGTTAAAGGCGGAATAAAGAGATATCAAATAAAGCTATCTATTCTCAAGAAGTTGGAAGTAGAGCTTCTAAAGAGACTTGTAAAGACCACAGTCAAACATCACATAATGAAACTGTAAACATTGTTTTTTTGCTGACAATCAATACATCAGCTTTATCAAGTGGCTTTTTGCTACAAAAGTATTTTATTGCTAAATACATTCACATTTACCTGTCATTTATGACGTCGTGTTGTTAGATTCATGTGCAGCTGCATTCCAGTGTTTTTCTACTAAGAAGATTTCTTCAACAAAACAAGCCATTGGTCCTGTCAGGGTAAAGTGTTTTCCCTGTTCCTTCATAATCGTTGTTTGGACTTTTTTATCTAAATATCTGTCGCTTTCTATTACAGTTTTTATCAGAGAATTTAGAGATAAAGTCAGAGCCTTTTTATGTTGGTATATTTCTTGTAGCACTCAATTTTGACCTATTAAGCCAATTTCTCTGTCATATATTTAGTTGAGTGTTAATCTAGCTCCCAAAATACTTCAACATTAAATTGTATAGACAGCGATTCTGCTGCTGTCCAACCCTACTAATCTCATTATCACCTAATTACAGCACAATCCTTCTTCCTTCTAGTCTCTGTGTAGCAACGCTGGGGTTTTTCAAAACAGCTTGGGGTAATAGAAAATACTGATACATGTCACATTTTCCTGTATTTTGCTGTAGTTGCACAGTAAAAGGGAAGTAGTGTGTTCTTATTTGGGCATTGTTACCTGACATCTCTTCTGTTTCCCCTCCAGCTGTTTCGGCATGGTGACAGGTCACCGGTCAAAGCATTTCCCACAGACCCACACCAAGAGAGCGACTGGCCTCAAGGCTTTGGGCAGCTATCACAGGTATAATGAATATGTTTTAACTGGAGTGACTGCAAACATCAGCACGCACAGTACTTGTCACGCAAACTTTTTATTCTTCCCAGCCCTTTTCTGCCTGATATAGCTGGAAAACGGTTTCAATAGGTGCATCGTTTTATGCAGCGTCTCGACGTCTTGTATATGTTTTTTTAGGAGGGGATGAGGCAGCACTTTGAGCTGGGCCAGTATCTGCGGAAGCGATACAAAGGATTCCTTAATGACACCTATAAAAGACAAGAGGTAGGTGAACTCACCTCATCCTCTTTTAGATCACATGACACCTCACCAGAAGCCTCATATGCATGTTAACGTTTAGAAGAGAGGGCCCCTTGCCGTGTTGGTGTTATACAGGGTTCCCACTGCTGCTGCAATTCCTGAGAATGGACTGACCCGAGCAAAGAAAGTCTGCGATGACCATGCTACAGTGTGTGAATACATTCGACCCCTCACTTGCAACCCCTTTGTCCTCAGATCTCAGTTCGCAGTACAGACGTCGATCGCACCCTGATGAGCGCCGAGGCCAACCTCGCAGGTCTCTGCTCTACCGCCTACACAGTAATATTTCTCTTTCCAGTACTTTCCTTCCCCACGTTAACAGTCTGTCTTATTCGTCCTTCATCTAGGTCTCTACCCCCCCACTGGTCAGCAGGTCTTTGACCCAAACTTGAAGTGGCAGCCCATACCTGTACACACTGTGCCACAAAGTGAAGAGAGGGTATGTAGATAATATAAATAGTTCTGTCAGTTCCCCTTGCTATATCGCCGCAGCTTGTCTAAACTTTCGGTCTCCTTTTTTTTAGCTTCTCTCTTTTCCTCTTGGAGACTGTCCTCGCTACAAACAGCTGATGAATGAAACTGAACACACACCTGAATTTATTAATGTCACCACCACATACAAGGTACAGTCTGCTTCTCTTTTCCCCATTTCATCATATACAGAATATGGCACCAAGATTAGGGCCATAGCTACTAATAAGAGGCACTCAGGTCATGTCCCCACTATATTATGTCCAATATATCTGATAATTAAGGTGGGATATGTTGCATCAAAAGGAATATACATTCTACAATTACTTTTTCTGGTATTTTCTAGTGTTAAATCTTAAAATTATTATGACATATTTAAATATTTTAATTTAGGCATGTGGAGCTTACTGTGTTCTTCTCCTCAGGATATTATAGAGCTGGTGAGGAATAAAACAGGACTGAATAAGACCAATGTGGAGTCAGTCTGGAGCGTGTATGACACCCTCTTCTGTGAGGTGAGAACACACACACACACACCGAAACAGACAGTCACCAGAAGTATAAACAAGAAGTCAGAGCAGAAATGAAACCTACGCTTTGTATCAATATTTCTTTTGACTAAGGCAGGAAATGTTCAGATAATCTCCTCATTAACTTCTACAAAAAATGTTCTGACATGACTCCTTTTCTTAAAGGTATGATAAAAATTGTTCACTGGAGCCAGAAATAAAATGTAATATAACTACATCATTATAATGACAATTTGTCTAATCCATTGTTATGAGAGATTTTGGCAGGTTTGCATATTATAGGAAAAAAGTCTGGTTCACTACACATGTTGTCTTCATTTCAAAATAAGAGCGTCCTGTTATTCAAGACATGATTCACAAGCTGTTTGAAGTTCAACTGAGAAGTTCACCCAAGTTATGTGTGAAACTTCTGGTGGGCCAGACGGGAACTGACCAAATGTGTCTTAGTCTTGTGACTCAACTGGCCTCATCGGTTTTTGAGGATCACGTGGGCATTTTGGCAAACAAGCTGTTAGAGTAACGGGACTGTGCAACTCTTATCTAGTTAACAAATGCCCCTGTGTGCGTTTCAGCTGGGGTTTTAGTGGACAGCATGAGCACACATATGCCACACTAACATGAGTAGCTAAGATTTAGTATTTTTCAAATGTTTTTAGGGATTATTATCTATATTTTTATGAGTCAAAAACATACAAAATAGTGTGAGATTTTAAGTAAGAGGCAAATATAAAATTGGGTCACTGAGTCAATCAACAGAAAAATTTAGCAACAATGAGAGAGACTTGCTGGCAGAAGACTGCTGGCAAAGTGCGATCAAGAACAACTTGCCACAGCTTAATAAAAGATTGGAAACTATCTTTTTCATGGTTTCCATAATTCCCTGTGTGTGTGTGTGTGTGTGTGTGTGTGTGTGTGTGTGTGTGTTCGTTCAGTCCCGGCACAACATGTCTGCTCCTGACTGGGTTACTCCTGATGTTATGGAGAAGCTCAGAGTGCTTAAAGACTTTGGATTTCAGGTAATATTTGTTTTTGGTGTCTCATGATGGTTCACATGCTAAAAGTATTGTAATGATACTGTTTGATGCATGATGTCCACAGGTCATATTCGGGTTCTACAAACAACAAGAAAAGAGCCGGCTGCAGGGAGGTATGTGCTGCTTTACTGCAGGGACTTGCCAAACTACATTTGTGTGTGTGTGTAATAATGTTTCTTTGCTTTTTTTTTAATATATAAAATGTCCCTTCATAGTACTTACACTGTCAAAGCAACTGCTATACAATCATGATTATTATAGTCGACCCTGACGAGCAGTATAGTACTATATTTTTCTAATGGTCAACAAAAACAGGTCATGAATATAAAGTTTCATTAAGGAAAAGGGCAAAATAATTTATTTAAAAAGCTGGGCACTGTAGTTTAAGCTTAAACAAGCATTTGTTAGGGAACATTTTAAGCAGTGGATTAATCCACATTTCCTCTTGTGAGCATTTTTTGGAAAACAATGGAGCTCTGTGGCACAGAGGAAGAAGATACTTGATAGTAGGATACATTCATTGTTGGTTTTAGTTTTTTCATGAGCTTTGTTGACAGTAGGAAAACTACAGACTGTCTCCAGGCATTTAAATACAGGATTAAGTGGGGAAATTAGAGCTGCTGCTGTCTTTTAGGTATCTTGTTGGGTGAAATAGTGAAGAATCTTTCCAAGATGGCCGTCCCAGACCCAAAACCGAGACTGAAAATGATGATGCTGTCAGCGGTGAGCTAGTTAACTACACAAACGCTATAAGAATTACTTTAAATTACTGTTTTTTTTCACCTAGTCAGGTTAGCTGTTTCCAGCCTTTGTGTTAAGCTAAGCTAACCGTCGCCTGGCTGTATCTTCTCATCTAACTCTTGGCAAGAAACTATTTCTTTGTGTCATTTTCCACAGCATGATACCACTGTAGCCGCTCTTCAGGCCAGCTTGAATGTGTTCAATGGAAGACAGCCACCATATGCCTCCTGTCAAATACTTGAGCTGTACAGGGATGACAATGGGTAAATTACACACAAACAAGAGTATACTGTTGACACTTACTGAAACATAATAATGACACACACAGGCTCCATGTGATATTGAGAAGCTGATACCAGAAAGAAAGAAAATATGTATATATATAAGTGGTAAAAATTGACGAGACTTTTACTTTGAAACACAACCAGATTCAACTGTGTCAAAAATACAAGGGTGAAGGAGCCAGTAGATTTAAATGAGCTGTTACGATACTTGTTCCTCATAATCTGGTACACTGATGTCCATGAGTACTATTTGTGGGTTTAAAGAGCTTAAAGTGGACATTAAACATGTTTAAATGTGACATTAGACTGTTAAACTGAATATTGTACCCTTGTCTCTCTCTCTCTCTCTGTGTCCATGCAGCTCTTTTTCGGTGTCGATGTTTTACCGAAACGACAGCACAGTGGAGCCCTACCATCTGCAGTTACCAGGCTGCTCCCTTGACTGCCCCCTAGACAAGTTTGTGAGAATTACAAAGCTCTCTATTTCAGAAGACCGGGACAAAGAGTGTGAAGTGCCCTCGGAAGGGAGCAATGAAGGTGAACTTTTCCAACACTAATAACTGCTAAAATAAAATGAAAAAGTTGACCACCAGTCATCCATTTTCACCATTCTTCCTTCCTCTCCTGTGTCCTCTACCCATCTGTCTTTCTTTTGTCTTGCCGTCTTCAGAAGTGATCATCAGTCTGGCGGTGTCCAGCTTTCTGCTCCTCCTCCTCATCGCCCTCCTCCTCTGTGTTATTTGTTGGAAGACGAAGCCAAACAGCAGCCGGGGATACCACCATGTGGTCAACCAGGAGGTCGGAGAGGAATCCTGACAGAAGCATAAACTCCTCTCTCGGAGATCTACTAACCTCGCGTCTTGGGACAGCAGCGATGACGATGAACTTTAAACTTCTGAGTTACCATTTGTGATAGTTTCAACACATTAGGTTCAGGGACCCACAACCATAAGAGTCAGAATGACCCTGTTTCTTTTAGGTCAGAAGGAAAATTTAAGCTTTTTAAAGATTTAAACTTAAGGTTTTAGAGAAGCCCAGCTTTTTCACCATCACTCTGAACTAACATGATTAGTGATGTTAGTTATTAGTGATGATTGAGACATTGTTGGAGAGACCAGGACTGGTTTCTACACCAAGAACACACAGCAGGGAAAACATTTTTATTATATCTAAAGTGTTCCAATGTGGTCTGATCTGCAATCAGCCAAATAGGTTCACGATTTCAACAAATAGTAGCCTGATTTTTCTGCTTGGAAAGACACTGTCCACTGTTCAGTCTGGTTTTTGTTGAAATTGTCAACCAAAATCAGATTTGAATAGCTGCAGAAAAGTTCAGCGACACAAAGTTGAGATTTTAAATAATAAAATAATGGTAGGTATTGTGATGGAAAATGGTGAGTTCTAGTTTTAGTGTTTTGCAACATGTATGACCTCCTGGCAGGTCTGATTTTCTTTTTAAAAAATATAGCACATACTATATTTTACCTGATTAGAAACATCTATGATGCTGACAGGATTAAAACTTAAGTGGCTAAATTGTTTTAATACTGAATCTCCGTCCAGAGTGTTTCTAGAACTGTTTCCGCAGGTTCTTCATGTAATCGGATTACTTTTTTTAATTGGCAAGAACACATTAGTTTTGTGTCTGTGTGTATTATTGCAAATTCATGTGCCAGTTTGTGCGTGCACAGATCTGTGAGGTCTAATGACAGAGGTGCCTTAAATATTTTTAATTGGGATTTTTTTTTTTCTGCTCTAATGGATATCACACATTTTTGTTGGTGTTCAAGTTTTTGATGTAAACTGAAAACACCCTTATAAAAAGTTGTGCTTGGTTTATCAACGGAACAGTGGGGCGGGTGCTTTGGGAAATTTGGGAAACTGTCATTCACCCAGAGAGGGAGCTGACCTCGACAGCAAGCATCCACCCCCATGTATCCTTTAACATGACTGAGCTGAGCCTCACCTTTAAGGGAAACCAAGCAAAATAGTCAACAAGAATCAAAGTAGTTTGTGATATATGAATCAGCTTCTTACAAATAAAACTTACAGCATCCTTTTAAGATGTTTTTAATGTGAATATGTTTGCAATTTGGAAAAACTGAAGCTATTTACATTTGTGTGTTTTTAAATCTGGCTGCTTTTATTTATTTTTTTTTAACAGCTTTGACTGATTTGAAAAATAAGAACCCACCATCTTTTTAAATGCAGGACAGAAACATAATGCTTTTCCTTACGCAATATCATGAAAAACCAAAAACGGTGAACCTAAAACCTTCAGCGCATGCAGTTTTAGAAAAAGCTGCGGTTTTATACAAATGGAACTGAACGTTTCTTTTTTTGCCTTGGGTGAAGAAAATCCAATATATTACAAATAGGTATGAAAGATTCTGGACTTTGACATAATAATTGCTGGATAATTCAAAACGCTTGTCACACTCACTATAGTCAACATAATTAAAATTATTTGTATGTATTGTTTAGCCCCACTTGAAATTTTTGTTCATGCTGTGAAATGATTGATCAGACTTTGAGAATGTGTTGCTCATACTTTTTTCTTTTTGAAAAATACATGATCAGTCATTGCGAATGTTGCATGTAGATAATAATATGCTTAGCAGATGATTGTCAGAGAAAACCCCCACTCAGGAATGCAAAGCTACTAGTGTGGCAGCACCAATCAAATCTGTCCTCAGTGAAACCTGCTTTTACTGTTTTGTCACAGTGAGAACGTTGGGTGCTTGAAACCCCGTATATCTGCTCACAGGTCAAGCTCAACATTTTTACACATAAAACTAAATTATTTTAATACACTTAAACCATGTAATATCAAATGATTTGTCATGTTTCAAATGTGTGTCTGAAAACAAATTAAATATCTACAAGTTGGCAAATTTATATTTTCTGGCACAGTGATTTCACTAAAATATTTATCTCAGAACAGCTTCAAAGCTTGCCCATGTTTTGCATTGAGCCGGCCAGCTACTTCCTTGGCTTAAGTCGGCTGTTCCTCATGAACTTGTTAACTGGTTAATTCAGACATATGACCTGCTACCGGAGTTCATGTCTGTTTGTAGTGGTGATGATTTGATTTTTCACATGTAGTTGTGATGTGCTGTTTTATTTGGTGGGAGAAAGGGCAGTAAACTATCTGTTATGTAATGTAATACCCATTAGGTTGAACGATTGACAAATTCTGGTTCCCCTTCGTCTTAAAAACAGTGCAGTAGGCCTTTATTTAAACATGGTAGTGCTTTTCTTGCATACATCATTAGTGATCTGTTGTACGATAGGTTACATTCAGTATGGCCACGGATAAAACAATTAATAAAACAAGTACCACTGCCTTTTTTTTTTTTAAGCAGATAGAGCAAATACACAAATAATATCACAATGGAAAGAAAATATGACACTGAGTTCTTGCACTCTGATGCAGAAGCATGCACAGTAGATGTTAATTCTTCTGAAATTGGCAAGCAGCTGAACACTGATAACTTCATTTTCATTACTATTTTTGAAAGTGTCCTGTGAAACTTGTTTTTTTTTTTTGTTTTGTTTTCATGTATGATGTCAAACTTTACATTGTCATTTACAGATTGAGTTTCATGACAGCTGACAAACTTAGTTAGCACAGATACACTGATTTTGGCATATATGAAAATGTTCCATCAAAGTGAAATATTGCTTACAGGCTGCAGTCTATCAGGAGATTATGAAAAACGATAGGAGAGAGGGAAAGTGGGGGGGGGGGGAAAGGAAAATCAAACAAAAATTAATGTAAAATAAAAAAAGATGTATAAAAACATATTAAACTTCAAAAACAAAAATCTAAGATCTCACACACACATCGACTCAAGATGTCACTTAACACACATGGATTAGAAATTGATTAACTTGGAGACACTCAAACAATCAAACATACACCATCCAACCATTTCTTGTGCAAAAATATATTTTTCTTAAGGAATGAAACTGTTAGATATGACAAAATGTGATGGCACATTGATATTTCCTTTCTGAAAGGATAAATAGCAAAATATATAATACAGACGATTACTGAAGAAAATACATAAAACAAGTAGGAGATGAAATCCTACATTCAGGCCCAAAGCCTTTCCTCTCAAGGTGACTGTCTTCTAAGTGCAAATTGTTGCCTCACAGCTCCGATAGGATTAGATTCCACAAAATGTTTTTGGTCAAAAGTACGTTTTAGAGACTTCCACCCTGTTAATGAACAATCCTAGGGCAGATTTCTACTCCCATGTTGAATGTAGAATACATACTGTTCCTTTGATCTGTCATACTGTATATCCACATGTTCAAATGATACTGATAATGCTACTGCAATTAAATCTGTGATATGTTTTTAACATTCAACAACTTGACAGTGCATGGCACTCCTGTCTTACATTTTCACATAGTTTCCATTGTATAATTGTGGGTAACCTAGATTTGCAGTGGAATTGCAACAGAGCAGATTTTGTTAACGCCGGAGTCATTATTAAAGTCACCTCCACCCCTAATTAATTTGTTTGATGTTACATTTTTTACACACTTGTACAAGCTTGTGCTATTAAGAGAGAACACCCATATGGCAGCTACATATAAATTGTAAGCATTTTACATGGATGATATTTGTGAAGATAAACTGACCAGTATTTTGAATTTCTGTTAGTTATGAACATTGTCAAACTAAACAAGAATCCACTAAGGTGACTGCCTACAGTCTCAAGCTCGCTAACTGTGTTTTTACAACTTTATATTTTTGTGGCACCGAAATTAACAATCACTGTTTGACATTAAAATAATATTACCAAGTCTGTGATGGGTTAAGTTTTATTAGCTTATTGTATTGTTTTGCTAGGTCGCTGAGAATCTTCTTGGTTAAACAGGTTGAGTTTAAGCTAACTGTTAGCATTGACTAGCTCTCACTGCTACATCATCTAATGGCAAATTAGCAACAGCTAATTCCTGTCGTATGTAACCAGACCTAAAAGTGAGAAACGGCATGACATGCCCTTTGTAGATGCATATCATTTGTTTTATATTGTCAGAAAAGCCTTTTTGAGGATCAGGCTAACAGACCAGCATCCGTCACTGTTCTTTTCCAGCTTAAATGACCCTTTTTTAATGCAAATGAAAAAGATTGTATCATATAGGTGCCCATTAAACACAACCACACCGCCCAAGCTGAGTGAATATAACGTCCAGAGCTGTTGACTATCAGACCACTGCAGCTTAGGGTTAGCCACGTTAGCTTGATAAGCCAGCTACATAGCTCCTTTCTGAGCAGAATGGTACATTTGATAGGAGCACATTTGGATATAATTTACAAGGAAAAGGGGGAAAGGATGATGAGTGTTGATTATCTAGTCCCTGATAATTCCAGTCTCAGAAATGATAATCTGACCAAAACATTTGACAGAACAAGTTTGGTCTTTGCAGTTTTAGGTGTATTAGCCATATTAGTGCTAAACCTGTGGTCTAGCCTGCACTTGCTTTCATTCTATGTCCATATAGCCATTTAAAGACGTTGATGTCTAAAAAAAAAACCCCCAAAACAAGCAGTTAGTCGTGGCACAACAACTTTCCAGTTGCTGATACCACCACATTCCTCCCGAATAGTTAAGTGAATCCATTTTGAAGCCCAGCCTGGTCCAGAGCAATACCTCAGAATTTCACTTAAAAGCACCTGATTTTATGTATCTAGGGAAGCAAAATGGTGACAGGACATTGTTAGTTATTAGTCAGTCTTTTTCAATCTTTACGATGGACCCTGCTTAATTCTGTGGGGTGCAGAAATAATTTTGCGACCCGCAGTAATAATTCTGTGGCGTGGAATAGTAGTTACTGTGATGATGATGGTGGTAGTTGTTCTGCGGTGTGGAGTAGTAGTTGTGATGGTGGTGATGGTGACCCTGTATGTTTCCATAGGCGAAAAGGAGGGGGGCCGTGGAAGACGGCGGTTGCTGGGTGGACGCAACACCCGCTGTCAGAGTTGCGCTGGGTTGGATGGAGCCATACCAAGTGGACGCACCCAGCTGGGGAGTGGTGGAGAGGAGACTAGGAGATGAGAAGGATTAAAAAGAGGTCTTAAAGAAGAGGTAGGAGGGAGAGGATAATGTCAAAAGTCATTTTATCAGTCTGGGTATCGAAGTTAGGTTGAACTTGTTTGATGTACTTGAATGAATGACGGATACTGAAAGACTGCGTGTGCTTGTGTGTTCCCACCTGGCCCGATCTGTCCTACTATTAATGCTTCTGGAAAGGTCATCATCACTATCATACCGTCGAGGGTTGTCAAAGAAATAAGCTCTGGAGCTGAAACTGTGGCTGTTGATCATCCCTCCTGGAGCCTGAGAGGTACAGACATGTTAAAGCTTCATTATAGTTTACAGCTCTGAAAGTTCACAGTTCTGTCTGATAGATTATAGCTGGCATTTGTGCTTTCTACGTGTCATTTTACCAGGTTTTGGTTTGGTCTCTGGACTCTGAAGAAAACCACCACTAAGCTTGTAGGTAGCAGCTCCCAGAAAAACAGAATTATACCAAACGCGATGTAGGCTTCGCCGCTGATCTCCTGCACATCAGCCTGGAACACAAACAGTGTATCACACTGTATAAAATATTCATATTCATTACCTGAACTAAACAAAATAGTGGACCCCGTGCTGCATTTGTGCTTTTACATCTTGTGAGTGTACATGGACTTTTTCAAATAATTTTTCTTTCATAACGGACACCACTTATCATCAGAATGACAGACTTAAAGGTTGTTCATCATTTTGGGAAATAAGGTTATTTTCTTTCTTGCTGAGTCTTAGATGAGAACACCCTACAGTTTTATGTAGGTAGAATCAGGTGGCAATTAGTTTATCTATGTCTAAAGACTTCAAGCTAGGAGAAACAGCCTCTCTAAAACAAGGTGCGTCACTTTGTATTGAAACGTGGTGGGGACATAGGGGCTCAGATTAGGGGTGTGAAGAGACACTTAGCTCGCGAGACATCAGGATATGCAATATTAGGTTCATGAGAGCAAGACAAAAAGATCCTCAAAGATATCCTCAATGCTGAGATGTAGGGTGCCTCCCCCAGGACATTTTGATCTTTAAACACTTCATTTCCAGCATTCTGGTGAAAGTTTCTGCACTAGTTTATAGTGGAAATGTTTTTATTTATGTAAAAGGAACCACAAAACTCAGGTGACGCATGACATTTCAAAAGTATTACAGAATATAATGTAGTGCAGGTCTCAGGCATTCTGTGTCGCTTTCGGATCTGTTTCTCCGATAGATCAACTTTTCTCATGTAATATCATCCCAACACAACGGTCGGCATGATTTAATATTCCCTCCTTTTTTGTCATGTTCACAGGGAGACAATGGAAAACTTGGCCAAAAAGAAACTGTATCAAGAAGTTGTTCAAGTTACTGATCGGTGCTGCACGTCTTTGGGTCATTTTATAATCAGAAGCTTACTTTTTTGGACAATGCACATTTATTTCTTCTATATTTTAATTGCATTGCATGTTTTCTTAATGTGCAAATAAACCTTAATAATAAATAAACTTAATGTGCAAATATTTTTTTTTTTTAGATACAAGTTATATTTCCGAACGTTTTTTGTTACAAATTATGCTTTAAAAAAAGTGGTGGGGACAAAATCTGCCTTTTTTTTTAAATTTAAAAAATATGTCTAACAACACCTGTTTAGCTCACTAAAAACACATTTTATCTTGTGTGTTTCATCTGTACACAAACCAACACAAAATGTAAAAAGGTTTTTTGTTTTTGTGTAATTACATGCGGTAAAACTATTTCCCTCTGGATGCATACTCACCATGAAATATTTGAAGCATTCAAAATACCATAAAACCTCATCTTGTAAATAAATTTTTGTTTAAAGGTGGGGTATGCGATTCTGAAGACATTTACTCATTTAGCTGACGCTTTTATCCAAAGCGACTAACAATTGCTAGGCAAAAAAAGAATTGGATGTCATGACAAATACTATGATGACAAGCAAATTTCATATTTCCTAAAATGTCAAACTATTCCTGTAACTCTTCTAACAGTGGCCTACACCTGAATACTTTCAAACATTATGTTATATTCTAATCTAAATTATTATTACATTATTATATACTAAATATTCTAAAAATCAAATGCAGAACAGACAGATAATTATTACAATTTTAAAAAACAACTATTTAAGGATTCAAATAAAGTGTATGTGTACTTCACCTGTGATGTATACCAAGTTACTATATGTAATATATATACATAAATATGGGTAAAATGCTTGGTAAGCATAGAAACACATGCTCAGGACAGAATAATGTTGACTTGTTGACAGCTGGTATACAGAATAATTTGTAAAGCCAGATTATGCCCCCCACACATCCACACAGTTGGTGTCCATTGGTGTAATACATACACACAAACACCAACGATGAAACCCTTTAAAATGGGCTGTCTGTCTCAAGGCTTGAGCCCTGATGTAGGTCAGGACACACAGACACATGGGGTTATTTATAGCCAAACAAAGCCCTTTACCCCACTAAGCATTGCTTTCCTACATCTCCTATAATTGATTGCCCACACACACAAACTCACACACCTGGCATTTGGTTTCTGGCCAAATAAAAGCTTATTTCCTATCTATAACTGAACGCACTTGCTACCATACCTGATCAGAAACGCTGTACCAGCCGTAGTTGAAGGGACTGGGTCTATCCTGCGGTGAGAGGGCCACCACCACCAGGTTATAACAGGCTCGGGATGTGTAGAGCAAAATCACCACGGCTCCTATGGCTGTGGCTTGGCACACCGATGTTCCCTGGAGGAATAGGTACTGTGCTTATTACAGGCTCACGCTCATGTATCAGTCGGGTATTGGCCTGAAAGACTGAGGCCTGTTGAGGGCATGTTTGTTCACTACTTTGGGTGAACCTTTGAATTTATTTTGAGTAGGCCTAGTGGATCAGGGATTCCTATTTTTATTTTTTGAAAAGGCACTCTTCCTATGTGGTTTAATTAATCTGCTTGTTTGTCATAGTGAGATGTGCACTAGCTGCCATTACTGGACTGGACTTCTATGTGTCATTTAGCTAGGTAGAGATTACAAATGTCTGCAAAGTATTAGTGCTGCTCAATCATGGCAAAAATCAAGATCTCGTTTATTTTAGCCAATATTGAGATTTTCTTAACTTAATTACTCATCACTCAAATAGCCCATGAAATAAGAAGTAGTAATCCAACATTATTGAATTTAAACAGCATCTTAGAGGGCAAGAGAATGATAGCAACCCAGTGCTTGCTTAGGCTGACTGCGTAGGGGCACAGATGGGCCGCCCAGGGGTGACGACAACTTGATTCGTTACATAACACTGCAATTTAACCATGGTCAGGAGATGCAGTGACTTTAAGTTTTGAAAGATTATGCCTCACAGTGGATTGATCCGCAGCCTACAATTTTCGGACCCTCAGTGACTTTATTTCTAGGACACTAGCAATCGATCTAGTGAGTTATTCAGACCATCAAGGAGGAAAGTGAAAAATACAGAAATCTATGATTTTGTAGGCTAATTTATTCCCCTGAGTAATTTCAGTCAGCTCCTCTCGAACCGTGCGCACGTAAGGCTGGTAGACAAGCAGCAGACTTTGTAGTAATGAGATTGTTTTTGTGGTGCATCCCTCTCCCCAACCGAGACGTTTTCATTGTCTCCACCAACAGTGACATGAAATATGTAATAAATAAATAAATTTCTGTAGGCTTAAGCTAATAATGGTGACTAACAAGTTATAGCAGTTATAACCACCGGCCAGCTGAACTAAACATGCCACAGCCTGGCTGAGAGCAAGTTTGGGCTTCTAGGGAGGGGCGAGAGCCACTGCTGTAAAGGAGAGAGGTTTATAACAGAGGACAAAACGAGAACATCATTGAGACCAATTTTTTTTTGTCTAAATCATTTTTTTCATAATCGTTAGAAGCAAAAGGTGTTATTGAAAACAAAATGTGATTAATTGCACAGCCCTTTAAAGTGTAGCATGTAATAAAAAATGAAGAAATGTGCGGATGTTCCACAAACAAGTTTAACTCTAAACTGTCATTTTATTCGAGGAAGTCTGTAATTTCTGAAAACTGAAAATGTCCATATATAAGCTTCTGTAATGTAAATGTACAGCAAGAGTTTCGGGAATGTTACCAAAATGGTAAATTTTTTCAATAGCTTACCTTAATTTGTGGAATACTGACACGTTTTTAACAGATGTTAACAAATTTTGCATGCATTTATTCCTACCTTGGATTCAAGGTAAACGTTGGCAGAGGACATCTTGGCAATCTTAAAGATGCAGACAGCCAGAGAAACAGCACACAGGACAAAGAGACTGTCGTTGATCAAGACCCGGGCCAGGACTGCATGTCTGATACCCCCATCACTGGAGACATAAAGGTTGCTAACTTTTTACAATCAAGTAGTAAAAACGAACGTTCCATGGAGCTAAATGCGACATTATTATGAATGGAGAAAATGTTGTCTTAAATGGTATTTTTTTTGTTTACCTCGGTGAATCAGAGTGCTCCAGAGCTCCTTGTACAAACAATGCACAAGTTAAATTTACCACCAGGAAAAATATACTGAGACACAGGAAGAGCAAACGCAGAGGAACCCTGGATAGAGAAAGACAGAGGAATATGCAGACAGTAAGAGCCAAAAAAGGTGACATCATTCATAAACAACAACTCATTAACATTCATGGTGTTGAAGCTGCAAACCAACTGTGTGTGTGTGAGAGAAGAAAGGAAAAGAAAGAGGGAGAGAATGTGGTTGTGGAGAGGAACGAGAATTTCTGTCTTTAACCAACATGGAGGAAAAGATTATTGCATGTCATTAGATGGAGATATCGACAGTTCATTTTAGTATAATGTCCAACAGTCAAGGCAAAGGCAAAATGTTGGAAAACCTGCAAGTGACATATGAACCAACAAAGTTACAGGACAGACTTACTTGTATTTGGTGAGCTCTGGTGAATATTTGGCTTTAGCCTTAAACATCACCTAAACAAAGAAAAGTATAAAAAGAAATATCATCACACACATGATACACACACACACACACACACACACACACACACACCTGCCCCCACCTGAGGTGGTGGGTCGGGCTGTTTGACTTGAATTGACTGGAAATGCGGACAGCGTAATTTCACAAGACAATGACAGTCAGCTATTTGGAAGCAGTGATGTTAAAGAAACAGGACCATACCGCTCAACATCGAAGTTGACCCACCTTCACTAGGCAATAAAACAATAATGATAATAAAAGTTTGATTTGATTCATTTGAATCACAATCAAATTAGCACATAATTTTTGTATTAAGCCAACTCGGCCAAACAGACAATGAAAAGAGCAAAACCTAAAGAGAGATCAAACTTCATTAACAGAAAATCCAAAGAGAAATATCAGAAAGTCACAGTACTAAAACACATCTGATCTGTACCTTTTATCTCCTCAAAACTCTCCTGTACTTGTATTGCTTGGTTGGTACGAAAATGGTCAAATAAATAGTCAAACTACATATTCTCTACGAGTTGCCTTGCTGCCAACATGTTATCAGTAGTGACCTTAAAAAACATCAAACAGTCCAATTTAAGTATACAAAAGCCGGGACACTGGCCTTCAATGATCTAGTTCACCTACTTCCTGGAAATTCTTTTGACATTTTTTAAAAACCAAAATGTAGTTTAATAAGTCAGACTCTGATTAATGATGATAATGATTAATTTCTGATATTATGATAGGTGCCATGGCCAAAATTGCTTATGTCAACATTTACTAAAACACACACACACACACACACACACACACAAACATTCAGCCTTTTGCGTGAGAATGTAGGCCAGAAGGAGGTAATTTGTAACCTAGAAATGAAGCAACAAGTCAACAGAACACTGCTGGATTACATACTTTATGTACCTTCAGAAACCTATAGAAAATGTAGCTAAATCAATATTGTCTCTTCAAGCACAGAGCTGAGATTCCCCAGTGGTGAAATTAATGTTTTTTCATCTGATTATTACCATTATCCATTTTCCTCTAGTAAGTAAGAGCTAAAGTGTAATAAGGGGGAAGTAAATCACTGGTCAGGACTCAGGCCTGACTCATCAAAAAACACACTACACACATATTTCCACACGTGTCAGGCGTCAGCCTGTGCCACGCTGGCATGATGTTCTATCACGCCATTTATTACCTTCAGTGAGTTCAACATTAAAAAGCCCTGTTCAGCAGTAAGGCGATAATACAGGAACTGGGTTGTGACATTGTTTGAACAACTTATGAATCATCCTCAGTTATAACGTTGCTCAAAAACTGATTTTCTGTGCTTGTGTTTAAGCAGTCTAGGCAAGCTCTCCTGTTTTCATGCCTTTTACTGCTTTATGGACTTTAAATACATGTATATCATGTCAGCTAGAGCTGACAAGATTAGTCTGTAAATCAATTGGTTGACCTACAGACGATTAATCAGCAGCTATTTTAATAACTGAATAATCATTTTAGTCATTTTTCAAGAAAAATGCCAAATATTGTTTGGTTCCAGCATCACAAGTGTGGGAATCAGATGCATTACTAGCCATATATGGTAGTAAAGTGAATATATTTGTAGTTTGGGCTGCAGATAGGCAAAGCAATTTGAATCATTATCTGCAGCCCTAATGTCAACTTTGATCCGTCAGTGAGGGCACATCTAGTTACCCCTGAATAAATTAAAATGCAGTGCAATCTCATAACTGAATTATAAGACAGTGGTTCCCGAACTTTTTGGCTTGTGTCCCCTTTAAACACAACCAACCAGTTGACCCTGTCAAGGTCACGCCGTCCCACAATGAATTTTACAGGGTCTCAAAATGTGGTCAAAACAGTACCATTGCAGCCTGGGATTGAGTATTTAGTGTCAAATATCTTGTTCTTCACCTGCTAAATACTCCATTATGTTCACTTGCTAGATGTTAACTTTGCCTGTCTGCTGTTTGGTGCTGGGCTGGTAGAGCTAGTGGCTTTATCGGTAAACTACACTGATGAGAGCTGTGGGAGAGAAGCAGAACATTGAATTTACTGGGCCGAAAACCAAAACAATGACCTGAAAGATGCTAAAATGCTCTGTAGAATTGAGAGGACATTTTGGGTGAGTTGGGTGATATTCTCTGTGTTTGTCACTACAAATCACTTAGATGTAGTCATTTGACTCATTGTTAATATAAAATGATTGATTATAGCTGCTTTACTGTTATTCCAACTTTAATTAGGGGACATCCTTTTTTTGATTGATATCTTTAATATTACTAAGACTGTAAAACAGTTTGTTTAAGTACTCGTGATTAAGAAAGTAACACCAACCATGTGTAGGGCATTACACCCGGCACTGTTTGCCGGATGGGTCAGGAACAACAGCACTGCAGCCGGATGGTCAAAGTTTCTACTGGGAGAAAATATGAATCTGACATACTGTGTAACTCAGCTCTGACCCGGCTAGATGTGAAACCACAAGTAGGAAAAGTTTGCTCACTGAGCTGGCCAGTCACATGATTTTCCCAACATATATAGATGCATATTTTAAACCTATAATGACAGGTTTAGCATATATGGAAAAACACAATTTGTCTGGTAATGGTGGAAACCTCTGCTGCCAAGGGAGCGTAGTTTGGATCCTGTAACTGGTCACAGGTCAGCTAATGGGATACAATGTTTATAAAGCAGTCATATGACACCATTGGCTTCATTTACCTGATCTCAACTTAGCCAGTCAGACAAACTTCCTTTCTACTCAACTAACCCCGTGACCGAGACACATTCTGTGTTTTCCTTTTGGAGCAGTGATTGAACTGTGGTGGTGCCACCAACCAAAAGTCCCCAGGCGTGTAGGTGTTTCCTGAGAGAGAAACAAACAGGTCTTTGATATTTGGAGTGGGCAGGTGTGAAACAACTGTGACTGACCCACTGTGTCCCTCTCTTCCTGTTTTATACACGCCATTTGCTTGAGTCTTGCCTTGACTTATTGAATAAAAACACATCACTGGAGGCTGGGACTTAATGTAACACAGGGTTTTAAAGGGAGATCTTAACATCGCTCACCCCGGGACATGAACTGTGTCAATTTGCAGAGCTTTCAAACCAACCTTAAAAAAAAAACTGCTTCAGGTCACTCAACCCGCTCTTGCTATGGAGCATGTGGGCTGATAGTGACCACATTTCCTCATTTGAGGAAGAAGAAGCATTGGCTGTTACAGAAACCCGACTTAACCAAAAAGTGACGTTGCTAGGGAAATAGACAAGTCTTGACAGTAAGGCAATGGCCACCACCCAATACTGCATTTTGACAGGCTTAAAGAAATACTTCAGTAGTTTGGGAAATTTGCTTAGTTGCCTTCTTACAAAGAGTTAGACAAGAAGATACCACTCACATGTCTCTCCATGAAGTATGAAGCTACAGCCAGGAGACACTTAATTTAGCTTAGCATAAAGACTAGAAACAGCTAGCCTATCTTACCAGTGCCTCTAAAGCTCTTCAACTAACGTGCTGTATCTTGTTTCTTTTGAACAAATCCAAACTGTAAAAACAACACGTTTTACAGGCGGCTATGACAGGGGCGGCTATTTCTCAGCTGGGTGCAACTTCCTGGAGTCTCAAAAAGTATTCCTTTATGGTGATGTGTTATTTCTAGATAAACCACATTGCTTAGAGACAGAGGCCTCATCCTTATTTAAATGAATACACCCACCCAAAAATTATAATAAATTTTCTATTTAATGTCTGCGATTACCAATTCTTTTCAATGACAATTAATCTGCTCTGCTAATATGTTTTTAATGAATCAATGAATTGTTCTGTCTATAAAATGTTCCCAAAGCCTAATATGACGTCTTCAAATTGCTTGTTTTGCCCGAGAACAGTCCTAAAACAAATGGTGTTCAGTTTACGGTAAAGGAAGTTCACATTTGTGTAGTTGGAAATTTTTGTGCTTAAGAACTACAAAAATTTAATAAATTAACAGTGATTTCAATATATTATTTAATATTAAGCAACTAATTGTCCCAGCTCTAGCACTGTCAAAAGCCTCACAGGAGCTGTAGTTTTATAAAAGCTGGTCTTATACTTTGCTAAAATGACAACTGATGTTTGTCTACTGCAAGTTCATTGTGTCAAAATCAACATGACCATGATTAATTGTTGTCCACATGGGTGCCAGAGTTAGGTAATCAGAGCTTTTTGTCCATTGGGTGATCTTGGCACCAGGAATTGAAGGCCCTAGAAGAATAGGAATCCTCCAAAGGAGTCAATAAAAATACAGTAGAAGATAATAAAAGCGCCATTTGCTTGTGTGAAAGTTAAACTGTGTGTTAAATGTGACGTGCAAACACACAATTGCAATGTCAGCTGTTTTATGAAATCAGGTCACACAAACACTCACACCTCCTGTCCCCCTTCCCACACTCACAGTGCAGTCCTACCTGTATGAAGTAGAGGTTGAGTAGGCAAAGTGTGAAGAACTGCAGGCAGACGGGGCAGCAGTAGAGCAGCCAGTAGGCCAGAGGCTGCAGCTGGTTGGCCTGCACCACATTTTTAAAGTAAAAAGAGAAGAGGGTCGTCCTCAGCGCTGCCCACAGCAAACACAGGAACAAAAACACACTCTGGTAGCTGAAGCGCTTGTGTCCGTAGTGCAAAATGAGCCAGAGCTGCAGGTAAACGAAAACAAACAGGAAAGAGTAGAGGACGGTGTAGATGGTAGTTAGACTGAGCTCCAGTGTTGGGGAGATTGCAGCTCCATGGGACTCCCTCAGTGAGGTAAACAAATGGGAATTAACCTCCTCTCCTGCCGAAAACATATCCACTGACGGCTCGCACTAACACATGGGATGCTGTGAAGGCAAAAACACTAAACCTGGGTCAGATCTGGGCTAAATTCGCCGTGGGCGACAAAAAGACGAAGGTACTCTGGTGACAAATTGCGATAAAAGCAGTTTATTCTGAAAAGAAGTGGCATAATGAAAATGCGCTGGGGTTTAAATCCGATACTGGGTTGAGAAAAATTGGGGTCTATTTTTTTTTTTTTTAAAAGCGCTAGGTTAAAAATAACAAGACAGAGAGAAAACAAACAAGAGAGAGGTCCCTCTGTGAATCTCTGCAAAGCTGTTCTCTGCAAAAAACAACTTAAGGGGGGGGGACCTCCAGATCAGCTGTGATGCAGTTTTTGACCCGCCCCCTTGCTCTCAATTGAAAGAGAAACTAGCGCTACAGCAGTCGCCATCTTGGCTCAACACTAGGCTGATTTTCCTGGCAAACAGCTGACCGTGGAGCCACAGATTCTCGCCAGTTTCCGGGCTAAATCTCCCAAGTGAAGCACGTCTTCACGCCCACTTCCCCAGAGCGCCGCTTCATTGGCTAATCTTGCCGCCCAACCTCCACAGTCTTCTTACTTAATTGGTTTATGATGATGTCAGCTGCGGCAGTACCCGCCCTTTGCTTGCTTTTGATTGGTTTATTTGTTCAAGTCAAACCGTCCCCTAAACCCATTGGCTCAAAGAAGCACGTGGGCGTCTCGCTGAGAAAGTGGCATCAACAGTAATTTGATTACGTAAAGTTACTGAGCGACAAACGACATTTGCCAGAAAAGTGACGTCGCTTTCAAAATAAAAGCGTTAAACGTTGGTGCGCACTGAACAGAATCGTTTGGGAACGAAAAGAACAAATGCAAAAAGCTGTATTTTTATCAACTGTGGATGCTTTCATGATCATTTTCTTGTTCATTTTAAGTTGTATGGACTACTCAAAAACTTTGCAACAAATTTGTCAAGGGTTTTACTTTAACTTACGTAACAGGAAGTAACTTTTTAACTCTGTTAGCTTGACACTTCACCGAAAGATGGAGCCTTATTCTTCTGAGAAACATTTTTCAAATTTCACTCTGCAGCTTGGCGTAAAATAATCTTGTAAACTTGCTTTGTCCGTGGCCTGCTGTAACATCTCCCACATACATATGCGGACATGTATCTTCTAAATGCACAAGTGTTAACGTTGGCTGTTCATGTAAAGCCATGGATGAAAAAAACATCAGCAGGCAGTTTACAAGCCTAGCTAATGAAGTAGCTAGCAGTAACCCACATTTCTAAATAAAGTAAAGTGTTTTTACTTTTTATAATTGGCGTCAAAATGTCTTCGTCTCCAGTGACCACAGTTTTAACTGTGGGTTGTGACGTTTGTGCCACTTGGGAAGACAAAAGTTGAACCCTAACCTCGACTTTCTCAGGTAACACTGCTAGTATCTTTTGTTGTCACTGCTTGCTTCTTGTTGTAACCGATGTGTACCTTATCAGTTCCAACAAATATGAAGTAATTATATATAACATAGTGCGGGTCATTTGAAATAATCATATTGTGTTCCTATTATAACCTTTCCTTGGTTTGTTTGGGATCCATATGAGTAACACTGAAGTAATGGGACAGTGCTGTTACATGTATAGAAATGTAACCGTGTGACTGGGCAGCTTGCAAACAAACATTTTCAAATACAGGAATGAAATAAAGGTTAATCTATTAGTTGTCAACTATTAAATTAATCAACTATGTTGACATTCATTTAATCGGTCTGAGTAATTATCCTCTGATTCCAGCTTCTTAAATGTGAATATTTTCTGGTTTGCCTACCGCTCTATGACAGTAAACTGAATATATTTGGGTTATGGACAAGGACATCATCTTGGGCTTTGGGAAACAGATTTACATTTTATTGACCAAAAATTCGACAGATCAATTGACAGTGAAAATAATTGTTAGTTGCAGCCCTACTTCTGTGTCATCCAGTCTTATGAGTATCATTTTCATCAAGTTTGTCTTCTAAACATTAACGCACAGACAACATAGTTTTTCTCTCTCATGATGTCTTATTCCCTCACCCCCACAGAGAGCACAGAGAGCACAACAGAGCCTGTTCTCCATGATGTGGATGTGTATTGCTGTTTTCCTGCTGTGGGTCAGGACAGGAGGATGCACAGAGAAGGCCAACACATCAGACCTAATTGAATACACAGCTGCAGACTTCTACGAGAAACTGCATTCTGGGAAGATGATGTTTATCTATTTCGAGCATCAAGGTAGGCTGCTTACTCTGTCGTACAAGTAAACAACGCAACCTTTTCCAAATGTGTATATAGAACTGTATTTTTGCAGTAATACAATAGATAATGCAATACATTTGTGATGATATAGTATCTTAAATTAGCATCTTTTCTTTTTTTAAACTGTATTTTATGGTCCTTTAGTCCTTCCTAGAGTCCAGGGTATCGGTCTTAGTACAAAAAGAAATAGAAAAAAGTTCTCCAAATAGATATACAACATTACAATCAATTAACATTCAAGGAAGATTTCCATTTTTTTTTTTAGATTTCCTGGACTATTTCTAACCATTCAAGAAGTGTTGGAGACTCCTATTTCAGCCATGTCCTGGTTATTGCCTTTTTACTACCTGCTAATAGTATTTGCAGTAATTATCTGTCCTGCTTTTTCATCCCACTTGGCAAGTTTTCTAAAAACAAAACACTAAAGTTAAAAATCAAACCTGTGGTTAATGACTGATCTGATCTCAGTTACCATATCTGACCATTACACATGAGCATTTTTTCAAGTAGTTTACATAAAGAGTAGCTCAAATTGAGCACAGGAGTTACATTAACTTCAGTTTCTTAAATCCCCAAAAATCAGAGCCGTTCATATGGTGATTGACCAGTGACTTGTCAAAGTGCAACACAGCAGATAGTAGCAAAGCCTTTTAACTCCTTTAATCAAGGATAAAAGTATTTCTCTCCGTCTCCAGTCTCTCCAACCGTCTCTCTCTTCTTGCTGGAGCTGGAGAAGTCTGCTGACGCCCTGCAGGATTATGGGGTATTGGTTGGCAAGGTAACTACAGTCCTCTCAGTGCTTTGTGCTCCACCTGTCGTAGACATCAAATTTACAAGTTTTTATTAACTTGGACACAGATATGAGGGAGCTTATGCACAGAGCAGTGGCAGATCAGTACATATTTTTTGTTTTTTTCTGTTAAGGTCAACTGTAATAAAGAGCTGGTTCATACATACTGCACAGAGGAAAGGATGCTGCACACAGCTTTTCTGTTCAGGTAGGTTGTGCGGACATGAAGGCTTCACAAGCACATAACCATATAACTCTGTCAAAGGCATGAAGGATTGTATAATAACAACTAACGACCCCTTAGCTGTCACACTGTCTATGTCTTTCTGTCAGGGGTGGTAAGGAGTTCTTGGGTTTTGATTTGGACACCGTGTTTGACGTCAACTCCATTGTCTCTGAAGTCCTGTTGTAAGTAAGCAATTCTCCCTCACACAATCTCTCAGTTGTGTGCAGCGTTAACCTTCAGTCCTGGCTTGTATCTAAAACAAACAATTAATTTTGAAATTCTATTTTTTTAATACACTTATAAGTGGTACCTGTATGTATATAGTGTTAATATTTTTTAACACTATATATAGAGAAAAACATTCAGTATATATACAGTAGCTGGTGAAGTAGAAAGAAGCTGAATGTCTGTGGGCAAGTCATTTAATGTTACCTGACGCACAAATCATGGCTGTAACTGCTGGAATAGTGTTGTGTGGCTCGGTCCGGGCCACTCTGTTTGCTTTCCTTTTACAGAGCCAGGGCTGTGTACAGACACTGGATTATTTTTTAGTGTACACAGAACGGACAGCTAGGACTGCGAGGAGAGGTTTGCTAGATAGAATCACATACCCACCTTTAATTGACTCTTTCAGTTCTATTATTGACATTAACTCTCTATACATTTGTGACTTAAGCACATTTATGGAATAAATCCACAGCTGAAAATAGTTCCCAAATTACGCACTATAAACCCATGTTTGAGTAACATTTGTAAAAGCGACACTGTCCAACTCTTTAAGGAGATTCATGAGCTTTTTGAGAAAGGAAACTAAATATCTGTGAGCTGCTGCAAAAGATTTCTGTCATCCGTAGGAACCAGTAGGCCACAGACAGGAAGTCAGAAAGAGAGACGGACTAACGCACTTTTTTTTGGTCTTTTCATGGGATTTGTTGATAATAACAAAAAAATCTTTTAAGTTAGATGAAAACAGAGCTTTGGCCTCTTTCTCTTTTAGCGCTATTCTGCGTGAAGAGGTCAAGTATGTCCACACAGACGCTGACCTCATGGCCATGGAGAAGACAGCCAGAGGGAAGAAGGATATTGTGCTGGGATATGTCCGCAGTCTGGGAACACAAGGTATGGAAAAGAAGGAGAGGATTTATATAAACAGACTCTGGAGGCAACAAATGTTGAAGAAAGTCATCGTTTGGCAAAATGTCAGTGATGGAGATTATCTGCACAATGTATTAAATCAAATAAAGTGAATTGTTTCTGCTGATTGTGTTACTTAAGAGCACAGATCGATGATGGAGACGGCGTATGTGTACGGATCCAAATACCAGTTCATCCTCATTACCGGGGGCCCAGTTTTGAAGCATTTAGGGTAGGTTCTTTTTATTTTATTTTATTTTCTCTGATGTTAATCATATGCTAACGCAGGGCTTATTGTGAAATGGCTGAATGTGCCTAACAAGCCAAACAAGTATTAATCTGTTTCATAAAGCCAACTCATTGTAAGGCTGAACAATTATTATTATTATTATTATTATTGTTCAAATTCTTTATTGAAAACCGTAATGATTATGGTGTGATTTTTGCAAGGACCAAACAAAGATGTTTTCTCAAGTCTGTAGAATATGATGTGAAGACTAGGACATCTCTGCAGCACAACAATATAAAATTTTAAATGGTATTTTGACACACAATTAGCCTTCTGCGATTGAATCTGCGATTTGAAAATTGCACTAGGCAATATTGTGATTTCGCAAAGATTCGATTCATTGTTCAGCCCTAACCTCAGAGAGAGACACCATTTTTTTCTTTGACAAAGCAAAAGAGACCGTCGGCAGCACGTTGTAGACCAGTGGCCAAGACAAACACCACATTGCCAAATGATGATGAGGCCGTCAACCTCCTTTATTTACCGTGTGTCTCTCTCTCTCCATCTCTCTTTCAGGGTGAATGAGTTGTCTCACTCGTCTGGAGTGTGGTTCCTCCACTGTAGAGTTCACAGTGGGTTAGTGACCCCGATGACCTTTGAGCGCTGCCCTTTGACCCGCATGAGGAAACCCCTGTCCACCCTCAGCCTCCACTCCTTCCTGCAGCTCATGGAGGCTCCGCTAGTGGTGAGTAGGATAGAAATATTGAGCCACTGTGGAACACAGCACACTGAGTCAAAGAGTGCTTCTTTTTTTCGTGTGACCCCTTAAAACCAAGCAATGTCTTGCCTACTTTTGACTTTTTGTCACCGCTTGCATATGTCTGCTGGTTATGACCAGTTCAGATTACACAGGAAGAGAACAGGCAGACAACGCTTCAGCATTATACACTACATATATTAGCCTAGGCTAATATATGTAGTGTATAATGCTGTAGGTTTAAGTTAATAATGGGGCTTTAACAAGTTATAGCAGTTATAACTCTCAGTTATCTTGGAACGAGCTGAACTAAACATGCCACAGCCTGGCAGAGAGGGAGTTTGGGCTTTTAGGGAGAGACGAGAGCCGCTGCTGTAAAAAAGACAAAACGAAAAAATTGTTTTATCTTGCTTGATAATTGTTGATAATGGTTGAAAGCCATTAAAAATTCGAATAAATGCATTGCCCTAGTTCAAATAATGATTCCCCCCTTTTATTTATTCTCTTTTTCAATTAATTCACAACTAATTAAAACCATTTTTTTCAGAAAACAGGCCAAGCATTCTCTAGGTACAGCTTTCAATTAGCTGCTTGTCTTTGCAGAATTACTTTGGGTTTTGGACTTGTGGATGGACAAAGTAAGCAGTTTGATGACATTATGAAAACAAAATGAATGTGTTTTCATCTAAAAAGTCTAAAAGGCAAAAGAAGGAATATAATGTATTAATTTGGACATAATCGTATGTGTCTCTCCACTGCCAGTCTGAAGTTTACGACGATCCATCCTCAGTCCAGGCCCCCCAATTCCCCTTCCAGCAGACCCCCCAGGTCTTCCTGTTCTCTCGTCCCCCAACCGAGCACCTGGACCTGGACACGGCCACCGCTCTGGCCTGGAGACTCCGTGGCCTTGCCCTGCTGGTGCTCGTACACAGGTACACGACACGGGGTTTTTAATTTACTGACATGGTTTAGAGGTAAAATATAACACATGCTGTAGTTGTCCTATAATTGCAGATAGAGTTTAATCTTGTTATCTGTTTAAATTTTATTATATTTTGCATGTTTTTTATCTGTATTTCGTCCATATTGTTTTCTCTATATTCCCAGCAAAACAGTCTAAATCTACCTTTATCTCTATTTGGATTTCTGTGTGTTTGTTATCAGGCAGAATCCTGCAGTGAAAACCCCCGATGAATATAATGTTGCTTACAGACTGCCAGAGAAGGTATGATGGTCACATACACACATACATACAAAGTAAGATTATAAGTGTTTAACCTTTCTGTGTTTATGTGTGCACTTCAAGAGCTCAGAGGTGAAGTATTTGACCTTACACAACCTTGATGAGGTGTTGGAGCTCTTCATAAATCAAGAGAAAGAGGTGGAGGACGAAGAGGAGGACGAGGACGAGGGGGTGGAGGATTTGCCTTTTGGTAAGTGTCACAGAAAGAGAATTAAAGAGAGGGATCGAGATATCTGTACCAAGAAAGAAATTGTATGTCTGTGTGTATTTGTGTGTTGCTGTGTCTGTCTCCAGGCACACTGGACGATGAAATTGCTTCGTCTGTCTACGAAAACCGAGGCAACTTACTAGATATGGACTCAATTACCCACTTAACCTCAGACAGCTTCCACGCTGCTGTTGCTGAAAGCAGCCTGACAGTGGCACTCTTCTACCTCAAATGTAAGACACACTCCCTACTGACATGTCGGCAAGGGGAAGCGAATTAATAATTAATTTTAATGTCTGTTTTTACCACCAGGGGATGCTGTTTCAATGGCTTTTCTCAGCTCCTTCATTGAAGTTGCAGAGCGACTTGCAGGTAAACAGGAGAGTACAGCATGAACAGAGTCCTTATGGCACGGGTTTTCAAACTCTGACACTGTTGACCCCACTCATACATAACTGAAGCAAACGCACCTCCATTAAATTATTAAGTTTTTGTCCACAGCATTTCAATGACAGAGCAAATATCTTTATATGAATGGACATAGGAAGGTGTCAGTGTTCCAGGAATATAAGTTGATGGGACATTCTCAGCCTTAGTAATGTAGAAAAATATGTTGGTAGTGCAACACATAAAAGGTACTACTAATGGATTTTGTAACTCATATTATTATTCTTTGTCTTAAGTCAGTTTGAGGGATGATCTACTGGTTCCTTTGTGTGATGTACAATATTTCCATAGAGTCATTTAGTTAGCTGTGGGCTACATCTTGAGACCCGTTTGTTAGCCTATACATGTTTCAGTTTTGGCATTAAAAGTATGCCAAATTAACTATTAGCAATTCCTGTTTGCAGTGTACCCATGGATGTAGACAACTATTACTGGATTACTGTGATACTGAAGAAAACTTAAAAATGTGAAGATTCTCAGGCGAGTTCTGGAGTTAAGGAGGACCCTCATTCCTATGATTTCTTAGTTGATTTGTGGATGCGTATTCTTTACGGATATTGAAATTAACCTCAGGGAACTTCTGCCGTATGGTGTGTTCATGAAAACTTGTAACTCTCCCACCTCTGATATACAAGGAGGTTTTATTTTCACTGTAATTATGTATTTGATGTTTGCTGGTTAATAAATCTCTTCAGATTCAGAGGTCCAAATGAGTACGGTCGATTGTGGAGAGTGGACCGACCTCTGTGCTGCTCAGCCAAGCAGCTCTTTGCAGATTCCGTTCCAGCCAATCACGGCGTTCCCCAGCGTCTTGCTGCTGCGCCCCCAGGAGTCAGCCCAGCACTACAGAGGCATGCTGGGCACTGAGGCGTTACATCGCTTCATCATGCTGTGAGAAGTCTTCTAAGAATCCACCGACACGGATGTGTTTTCATTATTTTAAAATCAAGAGTTAAATGGCGTCATATTACATTAAAGCCATTACTTTCTGTTAAATGCTCTTCAATCCATATTATGGATTAATGATTCTGTGACCTTGATGTCATAGTGATGTTATCGAGGTTGTATCAGCTTGGCCTTGTACTAGAAACAGAAAGTTGCTGATTAGGGTGTGACAGAAGGCAGTTGCCTCGGTACTGTAATCGACAGGTGCCTCAGAATCATCACTTACAAGTGAAGGCATCTCAAAACATTATTTTGGAATAGCCTATTAGGGCAGCATTTTACGGCAATGTGTGACGTCGGCACACCGTCTTTTGTCTCTTCTGGCTGTCACCAGGCTTAGGGTCAGCTAGCTAGCTGTTAGAAAGTCAGATCCCTCAGAAATCATACTAAACAAACTTGGTTGGTTACAGTCACGGGCTAATAAGATAGTTCAGTGTTTAGCTCTTGCTAACTTCAAAAATCAACGCAAAAAAACTACTTAAAACTTTAAAAACTTATTTTGTAGGCAAATTTTGGTTTGTTTGTCTGCCATACATTTTTTGTGAGCTACCGCAGGCACGCAGATTTATGGGTAATGGGCAGCATTGAGTCAGCATCGATGCTGCCTTCAAAGCTGACCAGTCGATGCCTCACTGTACAGTTAGACACCTTCTACTACAGCTTTTTTAACCGTTTCAAACACAGCCACTCTTTTATTTTTTTATTGTTATGAGTGCCCCAACTTTATGGAAGTACGATACTAAATTGCTGAAGTTCCCCTTGAATTTTCTATTTTACATTTTAGGGTTTAAATTCACTACAGTGCTCATTCAGCCAATTACAAATAGTATAGCAGCAGAATAAACAAAATACTTGACTTTGCTACTACAAATTAACCCACACAGGAAAACGACTCATATATGAGCATTGCCACATGTAAACATTCATTTTTGGGAACTTTTATGAATACCTTTTCAGTCTGTAGAACTCTTTGAGTCATTGATTATATTGGTGTATAGTCATAACTCAGGAGCTTTTCCACAGGCAGCGCGTATTTGTCGTGTAATCACCTCGATCCATGCTTTTATTTCATCCTGTCTTGACTGATGGGTGTCTGCTGAGACCAAGATGACACCAATCAGACCAAAGTGTTGTAGCCTTTATCTTGGAATAGATGTACCTCTGAGCCTTTAACCTGTACCAAGTATTCCACATAGTGGAGGCCTAAAACAAAGACTATGTATTGTTCAACAAATGGTTAATAAACAAAGCTTATTATCAGTCCAAATGAGCATAGTGATCACAAAGCATTTCTGTTGTGTTAATGTAAGTTATTAAGGTAGATGTCTGGAGAATAAGATACATGGCAAGTTTTGTTTTATGTGTGTCTATCTGGGCACACATGCTTATCTGCTTTTTTTAACCAGGAGCCGACCAGCTTCGCCTGTGCTACTGTCCACCCAAGAGGAAGTGATGTCATACCTTCAGGAAGTGTCTCACCTTGAGCTCGCGGGCTATCGGCCTGCCAGAGTGCTGGGACTGTTTAAGACACAAACACATGCAGGTAGGAGGCTGTAAATGTGTGCGCTAGCGTGACGCATGAATCAGAGCACATTATTGGCTAATGAAGACCTTTGACATTTTGTAATTGATGGTGATGACTCTATAGCTGAAATCAAAGCTAGGACTTCAATCACTTTTTAAAGGATACAGCAACTGTGCCTCAGTTAGTCAAAGGGTTGAATTATGTCCATAAAGCTACACTTGAAGTACAAGGCTGGTGTTATTATATTATTTTCTTACTGTCAAACTAGTCCTATGGAAAGCGCTTTAGTCTTCCTCTCAATACGCCTGCGGCACTCAACCCACAAGTCCCAAGTCCCAAATATACTCAGGTAATTTCCTTGAAAAGCTCAGCACTGTAGCTGTAGCAAATGTTGCTCAAACGGTAGCAAACAGTGTATTTGTTAGAGACTATATTCTGCTGCGGATTAATTCCACATCTGGAGTGTTCAGGCCAAAAAACCTCCCTGTGTTACAACAACACAAGAGGCTGTGAATGAAAATAGATCCAGGAAGTCCAGTTTGGGTTACATGTGTGAGAAAAATGGCTTCTCAGACACCAAAACACTGCACAGCGGTTTAAAATTATATTTTACTTACATAGGGGGCAACTATTTTCGATAGTATGGTTAACAGTGTATAGTCAGCATTAAGTAATCGATCATGAATATGTGCTTGTACATATTTGATTGTCCACCTTGGCACCGCTGCTGGATCACAGCGTGTTTTGTCTGGCAAAACATTCAGCCCTTTTCCCTTCTGATCTGGCAACCCTGCTGTGCGAGCTGTATTCAAATGAGTCACAGAGCACTGTGTTTTTCACACAGAGATGAAGATGTGAGATTGAGTCAAATTAAGTGTGTGTGTTCATGGTAATGAAGGAACGTGTCACCTACTGCAATGATGTGGCTCATTTATGTATTTTGGACAACGATGGAGCTCTATGGTGCAGAGGAAGAAGACACATCAGGCTTTGATTCACGCACACACAATCATTTATATTTTCTTAATACCAACTTTTCTTCGTGACTTGAAAGATGTGATAAGAAAACTTTTAATGAAATGGCTAACACTAGACAGGTCACTTGGTGAAGTTAAAAATATTGCAGAATATTTCAAATGTCCCTCCAAATTTTACTCTCTGTTCAAACCACTGTCCACTGTCAGTAGCAACCATATGATGATGTACTTCTGTTTCTCTGCCTTGCCAGGTGTTCGAGTGTTTACTGAAACTGCAAAGTCATTGAGAGGAGAGGTGCTGACTGGACTGCTGACAGATGGGCTAGCAGAGAAATGGTAAAGGCTCGAAAATTCAGTCTGGTCATTCCTGTTTCAAGGTTGTGCCTGACAATCACTTGAGTGATTCTCTTAAGCTCCTTTTTTGTGTTTGAAGTTGCATTTCACCCAAAATTTCCTGGATTTCTTCAAGCGCTTTTGTCTGGATTTAACAAAACACAATATAAACTAATTATGAAGAGGAGAAAATGTGCATTTTCTGAGGTTTCTATGCTCATTTAACTTTCAAAAGCAGTATTTAAAGGCAGTAGGAGTAGATTGACAGTGAAATTAGATTGTTTTTGAGGTGCACTCAGGAAGCCTAAGCAGCTGATCCAGCCCGGTACTGAAAGGACACTTGAATCAATGTGTGATTACATTTTGTAAAGAGTGAGATATTCTTGCATCATTAAATAGTCTTAAAATGAGCTGCATGACCTTCAGTGCCTTGAATATTTATTTAAGTTGCATGTTTGCTGTGCAGGGCGGCAGAGCACACCGTGGACCTTCCTGCAGTGTTGGTGTTTCCATCTTGGAGGACAAACACTCGTCCCTCCAAGCTGCCTGTGTCCACCTCTGCTGAAGATATGCTCTCCCACATTAACACCGCACTACTGCATCCACTGGTAAATCAACCCAGGTGTCCATTCGTCTTTCTGGCTTATTAAGAAGTCATGCTTGCATTGAGAAATACTAAAATAAAGTTATCTGATGATGAAGTTAGCTGACTGAAATATTATTTAAACCGCAGATGTTTGGTTAAGACTTCAAACTAAGTGAATTCAGCCAAAATTCTCTCAGCCCAGATTGTGTGCTTCATTTGAATTTCATAAAATTAAATAGCCGTAAATAAACAATGTGGATGGAATTTCTGGGAAGTTTGAGAAAGCCAACATAGAGTTGTTCACAGTATGTTGCAGATAACAAGCACCATATGTGGAGTAGATGTGGTTTCTTCAGTACAGACAAAGCCAGAGCGATGTGTCATGTCTTGAGTTTACATTTACTCAAGTGAACGCACACAATGAACTGATGTGTAAACATTCTTTAATGCAAATGTTGCTCAACAAGAGAAGTTCAGCTCGCCCTTTGAGTGCTTGTTATGCTGTTTTACACTGATGAACTTGGCTCAGATTAGTTTCAGGTGCTGTGAAGGTAAATAGGTGAAGTGGAATAGCAAGGGTTAGGGGTCTAAAAAAACCCCATCAAAAGTCCTAAGAATAACCAAATCTGCCTTTTGGTGGCGCTGTTGTCCATATGTTTTATCAAGACTAGAATGCCTTTAAAAAAGTACACAGTCCCTTAAATGATTCCAGCTCCAGGTTTAACTCCTCTAACACTCACATTATTTTGCTTCCCTCAGTAAAAATATTGCTGCCTCTAATGTGCACTCACAAGCAGGTTTGAGAGCATAACAGCAACAATCACTGATGTGTAAATCTCAGATATTAAGCAGGAACAGTGCGAATTCTGTATAAGCCATCAACAAACCTTCTGTAAACTTCAGTTTTATTTTGGATATTGTTGACCCATCAGACGCTTGCCGTTTCAAATCTCTGCAATAACGTGCACATTTTGGCTCCTCTGTTTTATCTCCAGCCTGAGCTGACGGTGGATAACCTGCCATCCTTTCTCTCCCTGGGTAAAGCCCTCCTGCTCCTCTTTGTGGGGAAGGAGGAGGACGAGATCGGGCGGAGGCAGAACCAGGCGCTGGTGGAGGAGATGAGAGGAGTGGTGGAGTTGGGAGAGGGGACGATGGAGCAATACTTGGCCTGTTGGATCCACCTGTTCGTAAATCAGTCAATATATCAATCAGTCCCACAGTCATTCATTAAATATTTGGACACACCCTACTAGATGGCAATGGATTGGTTACTCCATCCATCTATTATTTGCAGACAAAAACAACCCTTAACTTTGATAATCTTGTACTTTTATATTTTACATTAATAGATATATTTTTTTGGTCTATGTTCCAGTGGCCGTACTCCAGCCGGTATGTCTGTCCTGGGGTCGTACCTGGGCTCTATGCCCCCCCTCCCTGCTCTGGTCCTCACCCATTTGCCCTCTGGAGGTGAAATCTATCAGTACCCCCCCAACACCCCCTTAGTGGCCCCCTCTGTCCTGCAGTGGCTGCAGAGGATCGAGGACGGGACTGAGTCACCAGCAGGTAAGGAGGAGAAGTACAGGACAGCAAATAGTTAGAAAATGAAAGGCAGCAGTATAAAGGAAAATATTTAATATGATAGAAGAGCTCAGGATGTTTAATCTAAAGAAACTAAAATGTTATTATAATACTAGAAAATGTTTAGAAATATTTGAATCTGCATCTGTTTTCGATCTGTATCATAATACTCTGTGAAAATCATGGGATACGTTTGCCAGATTATTTTCACTCAATTAAATGCAGCAGTTTATAAGAAAATTGTGAAAATGAAAAATGCATTTTTAGAAATCCTTTAAAAACTTACTGAATTCATCCGCATCTAATATATTGACTTGTTCCTCGGCCCATGGCGGGAAACACGAGTCTGGCAAATCAACATATAACCAAATAATCAGGGCAAGCATTTTGATCCTCCTAAGCCTTCCAAATGAACTTAAATACGCTTGTCTCTGAGCCTAAACTAAAGTCAACACAGTAATGAACCCTCTGGATTAGCTTTTTCTGTGAACTGCAATAGGGATCTACTTACGGGGCAATAAAGCTAGCTGGTTGGTTTGATAACTAGTACTTCTGCACTGCAGGAACAAAAAAAAATGTATTACTTCACTTACTTATCATTTATTACTCTTCATTTTTCTCTATTTGATTTAGCTCCTTATCTGTGTTATATCTGTAACAATAAATCATGAATGTTTGTTATTACCACAGGTTATCCAAATAGTGATTCACTATAGCCAGAGTCTGCTGTCCTAGAGATATCAAGAAGGCCACAATAGATGCCTTAATGCAGTGATTTAATAGACCTATCACGTCAGAAGCAGGGTGAATTCTGAGGGGAAAATCCCCGGAGAAAATTTTATGTTTTCCAATGAATAATGTGTAATTTCACATCATATTGGGCCATTATTTTCACCATATCTCTGAACAAATAGTTGGAAAGGCTGCAGGCTACGTCAGTTTAGTCTAAGTTTGTACCTGATGTTCTCAACATTGGACAAGTAGGCAGTAATAAAATACAGCTTCCAGTTACTTTCTATAAATTGAGCTAATGTTAAGTTACATAGCAGCTATGTAGCTGCTGCAGAAGCTTTCCTGCTCAGCTGCGCAGTCTGAAGGGGAGGGGAGATGTTAGCTAAGTTAGCGCTAATAGGCTTCACTTTTCCAGCAGGTGGGAAACAACACTAAAGTCAAGCCAGCCTCCACTTTGAAAACGACAGTCAAGCCAGCCCTCGCGCTGTTTTGCGATGCGTGTTTTTTCTAGGCATTACGGTAACATCGTGTCGCAGCACATTTCAAAATAAAAGTGAGCTTCTGCTGAACATAATGCAATTGATGTGGCAGAAACGATTGAATAAATAAATAAATGCTTAAGACACCACAAGAATCTAAAGAAAATATTAGTCTCACAGAAAGCTTACTACATTCAGCCAAGATTCAAACTCGTGTAAAAAGAAAACCTTCTGTTTCCACTGACTCATTTCACTTCACAGTGACAGCAGGCCACCTCAGGGTGACCCTCTGTCAATATCAGAGCAATCTGATGTAGTATTTTGAAATCTTGAAAATATCTAATATTTTCACTGAATTTGCTGATTTCAAATTGACGTAAAAAGAAAACGTCCTGTTTCCACTGGTTCATTTCAATTCACAGTGACAGCAGACCACCTCAGGGTGACCCTCTGTCAATCTCAGAGCAATCTGATGTTTGGTTTTAATATTACAGCCCTTGAAAATGTCTAATATTTTCGCTATTCGCCAAGATTCAAATTGATGTAAAAAGGAAACTTCCTGTTTCCACTAACTCATTTCCCTCCCTCGTCGTTGCTCAACACAAAGAAGAGCGTGCTGACACCCGCCCAACAGACTACGTTCCTAGGGGTGGTGTGGAACTCGATGACGATGCGGGCCCACTTGTCGCCTGCATGCGTCGGGTCCATTGTGTCCTCAGTAACCAGGATAAAGCTAGGCCGCTCCATCACTGTGAAAAACTTTCAGAGAGTGTTGGGTCTCGTGGCAACAGTGTCCAGCATAATCCCGTCTGGCCTGCTGCACATGAGAGCCCTGCCGTGGTGGTTAAAATCCAAGGGATTCTCCCGAGGGGAAATCCGTTCCATCTGATACGGATGACAAGCAGGTGCCTTCGTTCCCTGTATGGAAGTTGGAAGAAACCTTGGTTCCTTTCCCAAGGGCCCGTGTTGGGAGCGTCATGTCGCCGGACAATTATTCCGACAGACGCCTCACTCACGGGATGGGGCGTGGTCACGGACAGCCGCTTGCGAGAGGCTCCTGGGAGGAGCATCATTTCTCTTGGCACATAAATTGCCTAGAAATGTTGGCGGTTTTCAGAGCTCTGAGGAGTTTTCTGCCCGCTCTCCGCGGTCGCCACGTCCTTGTCAGGACCGACAACACGGCAGTGGTGGCCTATTTGAATCACCAGGGGGGTCTGCGCTCGTGCCCATTATGCAAGCTGGCGCAACAGATCCTCCTGTGGTCCCAGCAGAGACTGCTGTCCCTCAGAGCGATGTAAATCCCTGGGACCCAGAATCAAGGAGCAGACCTGCTGTCGAGACAGGGGCTGAGGCCAGGGGAATGGAGTTATTGTGTGAAGAGGTCGGCCCCATAGACGGGGTCTTGTTTGCGTCTCAAGAGACGACGCACTGTCCTCTCTTGTTCTCCCTCTCACCCCCAGCCCCGCTAGGGCTGGATGCCATGGTATAGACGTGGCCGAGGCTGCGGCTGTATGCCTTTCCTCCAGTCGCTCTGCTTCCGGAGGTTCTGGAGCAGGTCCGTCAGGACGGTGTCAGCCTACTGTTAGTAGCCCTGTTTTGGCCGGCCCGAGTGTGGTTCTCGGACTTAATTTTGCTCCTAGCAAATGGCAGGTCCCTCTGAGGATGGATCTGCTGTTTCAGGCGCAGGGCCAGGTCTTTCACCCTTGCCCCGCCCTATGGAGACTGTGGGTCTGGCCCCTAAGGGGGCCCAGTTCCTGGAGGCGGGCCTCACAGCAGGAACAGTCGAGACGCTGCTCAGCTCCAGAGCCCCATCCACGAGAAGGATGTACGGCCTAAAGTGGAATGTGTTTGCCACCTGGTGCGGAGAACGAGCGGTGGACCCATTTACCTCTGGGGAGGCTTCCACTGGTCGTGCGCTTCCTCCGTGGAGCCCGGAGGATGAGACCCGTGACTCGGTCCAGGGTTCCCACCTGGGACCTGATGCTGGTTCTCAAAGCGCTGGCTGAGGCCCCCTTCGAACCCCTGGAGTCGGCTGAGGCTAAGCACCTGACCCTTAAGATGGCCTTCCTCCTCGCTATCACCTCTCTGAGGAGGGTGGGGGATCTCCAGGCACTTTCGGTGTCTCCGCAATGCCTGGAGTTTGCCCCGGGGAGGGTCAGAGCCATCCTGCACCCCTGTCTGGGCTATGTCCCTAAGGTCCCTTCCAGGTTGGCAGGGTCCATGCTGCTGCAGGCGTTTCATCCCCCACCTCATGTGACGGCGGAGGACGGTAGACTTCATCTGCTCTGCCCGGTCAGAGCACTGAGTATTTACACTCTGAGGTCTTCCCGGTGGAGGAAAGCAGACCAGTTGCTGGTGTGTTTCGGGTCCCCCAGGCTGGGCTCCCCGCTTCCAAACACACGGTCAGCAACTGGATTGTTCAGACTATTTCCCTGGCCTATCAGGTGCGCGGGTTACCTTCACCTATGGCCGTAAGGGCGCACTCTACTCGAGGCATGGCGGCTTCTAGGGCCCTCCTCGCAGGGGCGTCGGTCCAGGATTTGTGTGATGCGGCTGGCTGGGCCACCCCTCACACCTTCATACGGTTCTACAGTCTGGACCTTCCTTCTGCACCCGGCACCCGTGCGCTCTCCTCCTAGTCGTGCCATCAGGTGCTGCACGCTGGGGGCAGGCGGGGTTTCGGCGCGGCCTAAGTGGGTATTCTTGTTCCCATAGTTTCGTCACCGACGCAGTTCGAGTTCCCTCGAAGGGGAACGTCTCGGGTTACGTATGTAACCCTTGTTCCCCAAGAAGAGGAACGAGACACTGCGTCGGTCGGCCACACCTCACCCCGCCTGGAGTGCCTTGCTTCACAGAAAAGGGCTAATGTGTCCTGTGTGCCAGCGTGCTTATATACGCCTCCAGTTACACCGTCACATGCTACCGTTCTAGCAACACCAATAGGATTGGAGTAGTTTCATTCATGTTTCAGCCATGCCACGCCCAGAAGCGTTCTCATAGTGTCGTCATCGACGCAGTGTCTCATTCCCCTTCTCGGGGAACAAGGGTTACATACGTAACCTGAGACGTTTGTCAATTTGAATCTTGCGAATAGCGAAAATATTACACACTTTCAAGGGCTGTAACTTTAAAATAATACATCAGATTGCTTTGATATTGACAGAGGGTCTCCCTGAGGTGGCCTGCTGTCACTGTGAAGTGAAATGAGTCAGTGGAAACAGAAGGTTTTCTTTTAACATCCATCTGAAATCAGCAAATTCAGTGAAAATATAAGATATTTTCAAGGGCTGTAACTTTAAAATACTACATCAGATTGCTCTGATATTGACAGAGGGTCTCCCTGAGGTGGCCTGCTGTCACTGTGAAGTGAAATGAATCAGTGGAAACAGAAGGTTTTCTTTTTACATCCGTCTGAAATAAGCAAATTCAGTGAAAATATTAGATATTTTCAAGGGCTGTAACTTTAAAATACTACATCAGATTGCTCTGATATTGACAGAGGGTCACCCTGAGGTTGTCTGCTGTCACTGTGAAGTGAAATGAATCAGTGGAAACAGGTTTGGGAAAAGGTTTTCTTTTTACATGAGTTCAAATCTTGGCAGAATGTAGTAAGCTTTTTGTGAGACTGATTTCTTTAGATCCATAGACATACATAGATAGATTGTGGTGTCTTAAGCATTTATTTATTTATTCAATCGTTTCTGCCACATCAATTGCATTATGTTCAGCAGAAGCTCACTTTTATTTTGAAATGTGCTGCGACACGATGTTACCGTAATGCCTAGTAAAAACACGCATCGCAAAACAGCGCGAGGGCTGGCTTGACTGTCGTTATTGAAGTGGAGGCTGGCTTGACTTCAGTGAAACAACAGACTTTTCTTGGTCTTGAGAAGCTAACACACTGTAACAGACACAGCACATTTACTGCCAGAATATTTTCCTCCGCTCGCGTTCACCGTCACTTTCTACCGCTGAGACAATCAAACACTCGCTACGCACCTCCTGATTCAGAGTTACGCTGCTCTTATAACACCATCTGTTAAATCCAGTCTTCAAAAGGTAAATGCATAAATGTCAAAGGAGCTGAGTACATTAAGGGAATACCGTCAAATACTTGTGATTAATGTGATTACATTAACCTTTATCTAAGAAAATAAAAAGGTGCGAAGGCAGGTACGTGTCCAATGAGATAAAATTTTAAGAAAATATAGAGAAGTGTTACCTGTTAAAAATGTCGAAGCATAGAAAGATGTGAATGACATCAAATAGAAAAAGAAAAAAAAATCAAATGATAAAATAGACAGTTTTCCTCCAATAAAAAGTTATAGTCAAGAATTAGCTGATAATGTCTACCCTCTTCTCCTATATCTCATATGCCAAATGCTCCAAGATGTACAGAGGTTGAAAGAATTTATCACCAATTTTAAATGATAATGCAGATGTACTGGCCCTCAGACGAGCCTGTTGATAAAACTATAAAACTGTGACATGATTGTACTTGTTCCTGTCTGAGGAATGTGAAAGGTATGCGCAGGAGGCTTTTAGTTAAGCAGCTACACGTGTAATGAACATAAAAGGGTCCTTTAAGGAAGGGGATGATTGTTAAGGTGACTTCAGGCTTTAAACCTCAATTGACTGGAGCCATTAACCTTTGACTTTCTGAAGCCTGCAGTTAGAATAAGTGTGGGCCAAGATAAGACGGCAGTCTTGATGTGACTTGTTTCTGTCTATTTGAACTGAAGGACTGTCATCCAGCACATTCCCTTCATTCTCCACAGATAAACTAGAGACCTGCAACCGTTAGAGATGTAGAGTGACTTTAAACCTCAGTTTTTTGTCACTTTCTCTTATTTTCTGGCATTATTAAGTACTCCTGGGTTTCTTACAGATTGTCATGCTGCACTTTTATAGTTAAAATTATTATCTTCATTACTTTATAAATGTTGAATAAGAGTTCTTTTTCATGATTATAAATTCAACTTTAGGAGCAAAATTGTTTATTGCACTTGAATACTATAAATAGAAAACAATACTAAATAAATAATAATAAAATGTGTAAAAATAGAAATGAGCCAATAAATTGTGAAATAATTTAATAAATCATTCAAACTCAGTTAAGTTTATTTTTACTTTATTATATAATTTTTTGAATGTATGTTTGTTTTTATTTCACAATAGTATTTTTGCCATTTACATATAGCTCAACAGCTGCTACAACATTTAGCCACTTAGCTACTGTTAACTAGAGCAACAACAATGTCAAAGTAAGTATAGTGTTAAAGTCTGAATCAACCAACTAGTGTAGATGCTGCTGTACTTTAACACAGTGCACAGACACAGAAACTAACTTCTGTTCTGTAGCTTAACAAGGCTACACATGCTATACCGTGGGGTGGCGATGGCACATTGGATAAGACACATGCCTTTGGTGTAAGAAACCCGGGTTTGGTTCCGAGTGTGATACATCCAGCAGTGTCTCCCTGTACAAGACACTTAACCCGTAGTTGCTCCAAAGACGTGCAACCTCTGACATGTATAGCAATTCTAAGTCGCTTTGGATCTTACTGCTAAATCAGTAAATGTAATGTAGTAGCCAACAAGCTTGGATTATTACTCAGCATCAAAGTTTGGATGACTAGATAAGAATAGCTGAAATTCAGGACAGGGGAATTGAGGGTGGGCGTGGCTTCCAGTACATTACGAATAATGAAACCATAACACTGTGAAAGTCAAAACTCAACTCTCAACTGTCTGTCATTAGGTAAAATATAACATTTATTTAATTTAATTCACTTCATCAGGGCGGTGCCTGTCACATCTGTCTGGGTGTGTCAGATCTCTCCTTCTCCGTGGCCACCTGCAGCTACACTTCCCTTCTGTTTGCAACTGCCACTTCCACTTTCACTATCTACAGATAGACCACAAATAGGGGAATAGAGCATGCACGTGTGTTACTTTGTAGCTATAATAACTCTGTTGACACAATGTCCATGATAGCCTGCAGTCCCTGCTGTAGCCAATGCAGAGCCGGGCACCAAATAATGTTTCACAATGATTAGTAGGCCCATAATCAAAACTCATTTTAGTCTAATTTTCAGGACAAACAGGACAGGGGTCGGGACAACGACTTGTAATTCGTGGATTGTCCCAAATTTTTCGAGACGCCTGGTCACCTTAATCAAAGCGAATAGCCTGTGTAGCAGTGTTAGCTAGCTACTATGGGCTAGATCGATCACAGAGTTGTGTGTCATTTTCTGAGAAAACATCTGTAGAGTCAAAATTCTGCAGAGGTTACTCTGAATCAGCCAGCTAGTTGTTAATAATGGCTCTTCACTTTGATGTTGAGTCTTAGCGGTTAGGTAGGTAGCGTGGAGTCTGTCTGTCTGAACACTTTTGTGCTCCGTAGATTAAAATTCCTTCACTTTCTCTAAACAAATTTTAATCCACAGGAAATCAATGTGTCACCTTCAAGATAAGATTAAATTGGTCTCAATAACAGTAATGTTAATTATGCCAACCAAATAAAATGATTTATCCCTACACTGGGACTGCTGTTAAAAACAGTTGCTGTTGCGTTACATTAAAGGCCAGTATCATATTTTATCCTGTATCGAGTTGCACACTTTAATTATAGTTCTCTGTCTTGGTCGTCTCCGTAGGGATGTTGGGTGAGGACAGCTGGCCTCCTGCTGTCGATTTCTACGACTTCCTGAAAGTCATGGACATGCAGGAATCCGACGCCAGCCTGGAGCAAACTCCTCAAGAGGAAGAGGAGCTGGACGAGGAAGAGGTGAATGCAAAAGAAGATGTGGTGTTAGAAGAAGGGACGGATTCCTCCTCCAGCTCTCCCAACACTCATTCTGAACTGTAACAGAACAAGACAGGAGGGAAATGACACTAAACCACTGATTAAACATGTTTGTATATTGATTCTGGGCTTCTTTTCTTTTTACTAATATTATTATTTTTATATAGCAATATTAAATGTATTATTGAGATTGATTCTATCCCTCTGAAATTTATTTCAAGATCAGAAAAGATCTGTCAAAAAGACACATAAAGCTACATATAAATACAGTTAAAGGTGTAAAAGACAAAAAGTATATATATATATATATTTTTTTTTAAATTTCAGTTTATTTTTTTCTACTTTTAATATGACTTAACAGGTGTTTCCTCAGGGGGATTTACCGAAACTTTAAAATAAAATTCTTTCCTGAGAAGATGAAGGTCGCTAAAGTTGTTCCACTTTTTTAAAATGGAGATGTACATCACTTCAACAGCTACAGTCCAGTGTCATTTCTCTCAGTTTTCTAAAACCCTTGAAAAGTGGTTTGCTCAAAAACTAAATACTTTTTTAGAAAAACATAAATTAATTACTGAAAAACAAATATGGCTTTAGAGTAAAAAGATCTACAGCTTTAGCATTAATTGAACTCATAGAAAAGATTACATCTCCAACTGAGAATAAGCAATACACACTGACTTAAGCAAAGCATTTGACACCATAAATCACAGTCTGCTATTGTGAAAATCATACAACTATGGCATCAGGGGTCCAGCTCATCAATGGCTTAAAAGTTATCTCAACAATCGACAGCAGTTTGTTCAAATTAATGGTCAAAAATCTGAGTTAAAAGATATAATATGTGGAGTTCCTCAAGGGTCCGTTTTAGGCCCATTACTTTTTATTTTGTTCATTAATGACCTCTGTGAAGTGTCTAAAATATTACAGTTTTTGATGTTTGCCGATAATACTTAAATCTTTTACTCTGGAAATAATCTGTCAGAAATTATAGAAAATGGTAAAAATTAAGAAATGGTTTGACAAAAACAAAATATGTTTAAATTCGGAGAAAACAAAATATATGATTTTTGGTAATCGTAAAAAGAATGAAAATGTAAGAATAGCAATTGAAGGAACCGATATTGAAAGAGTTAATGAGATAAAATTTTTCGGGGTTATTCTGGATGATAAATTGAATTGGAAAGCTCGCACAGATTATATTAAGAGTAAAGTTTGTAAAAGTATTGGGGTCTTGTATAAAGTTAAAGATGTTTAAGACTATTCTTCGTTGCATACGTTGTACAATTCCCTAATACTCCAATATTTTGGATACTGCACAGAAGTGTGGGGTAATACATACCCTAGTAACACAAAACCTCTGTTTTTGTTACAGAAAAAAGCATTAAGGATCATCAACAAGACAGGCTACAGAGAACACACCAATAGTTTATTCAGGACTTCTAAAATTCAGAGATTTGGTTGATTTGAAGATTTTGATTTTTATGTGGAAAACAAAGCAGAGAGACAAAATGTATTCACTCTCTATCAGAGGAAGATGGTCATAGAAGGCAATATTATTCTCTCTCTCTTTTTGCATGTACTACACAAAAACAGATGTGTTTGTCTATTTACGGAGTTAAACTGTGGAACACATTGGACTATGAACTGAAGTGCTGCAAAAGTGTTTTTAAAAAAAAGGAATAGTACAAGAAAAATGATGATAAACACGTTTAAAAAGGCAGGGAATCAAAAGATTTTAAAACGATAGGTATAGAGGATATGCGCATGATGTCACAGAACGCAGTTACGCTCACTGAGTGGCAGAAAGACGAGCAGCAGTGTTAGCTCGAATCAGCTAAAACACAAACAACACCTCTAAAATGGGAAAGAGCTGGACCGCTGGTTCTTTGGTAAGCAGTTAGGATCACTGTCGAGTCCGACTGCCTTTAATGTGAGCAAATAATCAACTGTTTTACTCCCAGTTTGCTAAACATGGTAACAGATGTTTTGCCACTCAGTCCAGCGTGTTCTGGAAGGGGAAGTGACATCAACACATAACAACCCTCTATTACTGAAAATGTTTGGTGATTGGGGAGAGGATTGGGGTTGATCCATCCACAAAGCAGCTGTTTTTCTGTTTCTTTTGATGTGCACAAAAAGCGACAGGTGCTACAAGATATTTCTTCTTTCTGTTCCTTTTTTTTTTGTTCCTGGAAAGTAAAAAAAAAAAAATGCGCTGCCTTTTCTGCCAATTTGCCACGGTAACAATCTTATAAACTGTAATATTTGAACTGTTACCACATCTGCCTTCCCTCCTATGAAATCACACCATGCATGGAAATTGCTGTGACTTTAGGTGAAGGATATCCATGTCCTGGAAATGTCTGGGAAATGCATTCTGATGTTATTTTTCCCATCATTCGTCCTGCTGTCCCGTAATAACAGTGGCATTGTGTAATTTTTCCCAGCAGTTGAGAAGCGAAACAAAGGAGGTGGAAGAGGTTAGTTGGACTGAGTCTGTTTGAATTACTTTGGTGGTTTCAGATGTGGTGTCTGGGACCTTGAGTTGTTTGAATCAATTAGTCTCTCAGTTAACAGGAAACATCCGTGTACCATAAGCCAGCCAAGAAATTAAAGAAACATCAATTGTAATTAGATGATTAGTTTTAACATATAGGGCACAATACAGATACCTTTAAACACTTGAGAAGATATATTCCTGCACACTGGAGACTGCATCAATTTAGGGTGGTAATGTTTTTATTTATGTAAAGGGAAACATAATGCAGTAATCAGTAGCTTATTTTTTATTTTTATTTTTTTGGACAATGCATTCTTTGTTTCTATATTTAAATAGCATTGCACAGAAGTGGGACCAAGTAATTGTTTTACAAGTCACAAGTAAGTGTCAGGTCTTAAGTCAAGTCCCAAGTCCAGACCGATCGAGACAGGCAAGTCCGAATCAAGTCTCAAGTCCTAAACTTTGAGTTTTAAATCCTAAACAAAGCATAATGTGCTCTTCACCAAATTTGAATACCACTTAATATTTTTAACAAGTAAAATTAGTTAAAAATGAAAAAACTTTACTGAATAAAGCGTACCTGTGCAGAAATAAGGCAGAGGCACAGTTTCACACAAATGTCTTATAATTTCATGAATTAAATGAAGTGTTGTATCATAATTTATATTGGCTTGGGTAGGGTATCAAGTCAACAGGCTCAAGTCCAAGTGAAGTGATGAGTCATTAGTGTTAAAGTCATAGTCAAGTTGCAAGTCTTTTTTGATTGATGAAGTCGAGTCTAAAGTATCATATTTGTGAATCCAGTCCACACCTCTGGTTGCATGTTTTATTGTGCATAAAACGTTCTCAATTCATTTTTATTTGTGAGTTAACAATTCCTGAGTTAACAAAGCTATTTTTCAGAGCATGTCATGTTTTCCCCAGTTTTTATTGACTTTTGTCAAACGCATGAAACAGCGCCCCTCTTGTTGTAACGGCGGGTACATGTTAGCCAGCCTGTGTGGTCAAAGACGGTATTGCATCCTTACCGAAGTTTGCTTTAGAGAAGAAAAGTTGAATAAAATATAAAGTATTAAACAAGACGTGGTTTCTGTCATGCCTCTGTGAAACTGAATGGACACGTCTCAGGAAAAGAAACTCTGAAGTGAGGTGTGAACCAACTAAGTCACTGCGTTTTTGTAAGAATAAGCTAACAGTTTACTAGTAGCCAGGGAGGGAGGAGATAATTGTGAACAAACAAAATGAGTGTCAACATGGATACTTCTTAAAATGAAAGAAATGAGAATGGACGTCAAATAACGTGAGTCAGATACAAACTCTCTCTGCCTGCCTGTCTGTGTTTTCTAGCTTTGCTAACAGGTTTCTTTCCTGATGCTGAAATGGGTCTGGGCTGTGGCTGCGTGACAGCTCATGTTAATATTATGGAGTTGAAATACTGTCACTGTGCTGAAGCTGTTGTGTTGTTGCTGTCTACATGGACACAGTTGTGGGGACAGAGATATTTTGTTTGTATTTATTGGTTGTTCAAACAACTGTGTGTGACTGGTTAAGGTCTGTGAATCTGTTGGCTAATGTTTGTGTGTGCCAAAAATATAGAGTGTGTAAGTCATGTGTCTGATACATGCATCGAAACGTTTTGATATGAACATAAACAAATCTTTTAAGTATATCCGACTGTAGTCTTTGTAGCACTGCATATATTCATGCTAATGCTACAATACTATAGTAATGTTGTGTGCTTTGTGCTTTGAATGATACTGCAAATCAGAATTTCTTAGCACATTAGAGCAGTGGTTCTCAAACTTTTTCACATGAAATAGTCATTTGGCCTTTTCTGTCCTTGTGTTACTTAGATGGAATTATAGTGAAAATAGATGATTCCCCTTTTTGCTGAGGACCACCTGGAACACCCCTGAAGGACCCCTGCTACACCCCTGAAGGACCCCTGCTACATTGATAATTTTGGGTATAAAATTATGTATTGATTATATTTTTAAATATTTTTTAAAAAACAGTTTGATTAGAAGTGCATTGCAAAATGCCAACATAACTGACAGAAAGCAGCCCTTAAATAACAAATTATTCCTGTCTTGGTGTGGATTTCTCCCTCATGAAGTCAGTGTTCAGTTTACTGTGTGTTGTTCAGCAGAAAAACAAAACAAAAATCGCATGCAGCAATCCTGAGGTGCAGCCTCATTAATCCTGTCTGGGGAAAAAACTTTCTTTTTTAAAATAAAATAGCATTTTGTCAGAGTTCTCGGCGTAAAGGGCTTATCTGAGCTCAACCTGGCAACTATGAATTGTATGACAGTGCCAGTGTTGAATTTAGAAAGTGAAATAACTGCTGTCACTGACTTGTAATGGTTCGCTCTCCTGCTGTTGGCAGCTGTTCCTGGCAAAGGGACTCCTGTCATCTGAGCTGAGAAGAGAAGCCAACACATGAGATAATGGCGTGGCTGCCCACTTAACTGTGGCAATGATGACAAATTCAACCTGCAAAGGCCAGTCAGAGGTAACAATAAAAAAAAATCTTGGAGGCATTTCCTGCATTTACATACATATATGTCAGTCTTGCAAATAACACTTGAATGAAATTAGTGTTCGTGCTTTTCATAATATCGGTAGTATAACAAGAAATTGGAAATGCTATTGAAGCATTATTAAAGCTTAAAATAAGAGCCTGACTGATAAATCAGCATGCAATGTTATCGGCCGACATGATAATAGCAGATAAAGTGGTATCTGTATTTATAAATAATACAATAAATGTTGTATTTGCATCTTTACTACATAGAGCACTTAAAAGACATAACTCTTGCTGCTGCACCAAAACCATAATGTGAGCCCTCAGAAAAAAAAACAGAAGGCTATCCAGATTTGCGCATCAACATTTTTAACAAATCTTCTCTTCTCTCATCTGGGCTTTGGCAGCCAGTCTGTCAAAGGACACTGTTGGAGGAGATTTTAGTGAGTAAATCAAACTGAAGTGGGGATTTTGTTTCCTCAGTGGAAATGACATGCTTGGTTCTGATTCTGAGCATTTCATGAAAAGGATCCTGCTCCAAGGCCCGATTTTCAACGCTAACAAGCTTTTCACCAACTGTAGAGAAAATGTATAGACAGAATCTGAACTTGATTTGTAGCATGAATCCTAGGTATAGTAGCCATGCAGTCTTTTCAGTAAGGATTTTATGAAAAATGCATTTGAATGTGTTTCATGATTTTATTCAATCTGTTTCACATAAGCTTAAATCTGTTGCACTATGGGTAAATAGTTTGTCTGAATCACACTCTAAACATGCTGAGGTAGATGTCGTGTATCTATGACTGCAGTATGCCTGTTGATCCAAAGGTCACAGATACACACACACACAAACAGACTAACATACAAAATAATTGTATTTGCTGCAGCCTGGAAAAGACTGAGTCAGCATAATCAATCAGGAGGGAAATGATCCTGCAGCGATCAAGTATGTAACTAGATTGTAGACCCGCCTCCTGTTTCAGGAGTGAGTTATAACATTAGTGTAAGCAGCCAGTGTACATTATGCAATTTCTCACACAAACACAGAGCAGGCAATGTAGACTGTTTCACTTTATACAGAATGAAAGCAGACTATGGTAGTTAAGGCCAAATTCACTATCAACTATTCCTTTAGAATTGTTTCGATAATCGCAATGACTGGCTTTAACTATCCGTGCAGCAGCTACACAGGAGAGAGTGTATCAAAAGCAAGAGCAAGTCAGCACACATGCAGGCATGTGGAGGAGGGATCTGGCTCAATGCCAAGGTCAGTGTACCCAATCACAAAGAATTAATAACGTAATAACACACAGATCCTCACGTGTATGTATGCAAAAGCAAAACACAGCAGGCAGGAACATGGGAGAGCCACGAGACCATCATTTTGTTTGGAAGTTTCGGAATATAAAGTTTTTCCGTGTCCAGGAATGATTATAAGCTTGTTTGTGTTTGTCGGTAAAGGGGTGGCCTTACTTGTGTTTGCATGTGTATGTTCACGTAATCAAGCCAAGGTTTGCATCCACATGACCTACACCTACACTGTGAGCAGGCAGGCAGTAGGTGTCCCTCATAGCCCAGTTTACATCACTGATGTGTGTGTGTGTGTGTGTGTGTGTGTGTGTGTGTGTGTGTGTGTGTGTGTGTGATTTTGATCTGAGTGTGTGTGGGAATATATACTCCTAGATTGTGATGATCAGATGGTCAACCATAATTATACTAAAACTCCTGCGGGATGCCCCGTAATTTGTGTTTTCAGAGACACACACACACACACACACACACACACTCAGGATCTCACCGCTAAAGCCGGGCTGCATTCTGCAGGACATCACAAAAGAAAATACTTACAACTCAAGTAACAGTGAGTGCGGTTTGTGGTTGGCAAAATGTGCCCTCTTAAATCTACTTAAGGTATAATTAACAATGAGCCATTTTTCGATAAGGTCAGTATGGATTACTTGCTAGCAAACATAGTAATTTTAATTCATATTTCGGGCCAGGACAGTCTTGTGAACAGCTGGGAGAAGCCTCCACCATCAGCTACAAGGATTTAAAGAGGTTACGTGGGGTACCAATGCTGTTTCAGAGCTGTGAGGTTATCTCTAAATAATGCACACCCTCTTGCTTACTGGTTAGTGTCTTTTTAGAATGTGACTTGTTAAAATGGTGTACCTGAGTTTAGATCTGTAAATATTAATTTAATAATACTTTTTTAAGTATACCGTGAAGAAGTAAAGCAACTTTTCTGTATGCTTATCCTTCCAAAATATCAAGCTGTAGGCCACACAAAGCTGATTTAATTGTGAAATCATGTTTTAATTTACGTACTGTGATAAATGTGTTGATGCGACCTGTGCGTAGAATGTATATAAGAAATGGACGTAGTCTTCGTGACGTCACCCGTTGGTTTGTGGACTGCCGTTTTGAAGCCTCGAGTTTGGCCGATATGTTGCCGCCATGTCGAGTTTTTGCAACTAGGAAGTGCCCGGAAAAGACGAAACGGCGGAGCTAACGGCCGTGTGCGGACCTAGCTAGCTTGCTTAGCTAGGTGCAACTGTAACTCACGTTAACTGTCATTTTAACAGGGCTGATAACTTTGTCTAGCGAACTACAGTCTTAAAACTAAATGTACTCACCAGAGAAAGTGAACAGCCAACTCCTAATAAGCTTTTTCAGCGGCGCTGGTTAAATTTACACAGTGCAGAGGGTACGAGGCGGCTCTAGCCTGATTGACAGGTCGCTATGCTACGCTATGTAATCCCGCCCTGAAACATACTCTGCTTTGGGGTCTATTTTAAAATAAATGGGACCATAATTTACTAAATCAACATGATTTTTTTATTGAAGAAGACTTGAAACTAGCGACTGAGACCATAAACTCATCAGGAAAGTGTTTACTGGGGTAATTATTCAGCTGAGAAGTAGGGTCATTTTCCCATTATTTCTAATGGAGCCGGACTTTTTTTTGCAACCAGAAGAGTCGCCCCCTGCTGGATTTTCAATAGAATGCAGGTTTCAGGGACTTCCGCATTCGCTTCATATTGTAGACCGGAAGCTTCCCGCTTGGACCTGTGTAATGTTTGCACAGTAAAAAAACTAAACGAGTATGTATGTTGTATCTTGTCAGTAGGAGAAATAAGAATTGCTCTGGACACCATAAAGGTATTTAAATCAGTGTGCAAATTAACATCCACATGCACTGCAGCAGTGAATCTTTCAAGACTCTGCAGGCAGCAGGAATAGTATCCTGAGGCTAACAGGCTAATTAGCTCTGTGTCTACAGGCGTGCTCACGCTTGTGCACGCAGAACATACAGGCAAAACAAATAACACATTCATTCTAGTGTCACGAAAACGCTTAGTTGCTGACCTTTTTCTGTCACAGATTGATTATGGGGATACTATCTACAGGTTTGCCTCTCCGTCCACCTTGTCCAAACTTGACCCCCTTTATCACTCAGCTCTCAGATATGTCACAGGACATTTTTAACTTTACAAAGCAGTCACAATCCCAGGTCACATAACTGGCTTGCTAAAAGAAAGAACAGAGGCTGGAAAGCTAAGCCTGTTCTGTTATGGCCCTTGGTCTTGGAATGATGTGCAAACCAAGCTCAAACTTAAATCCCTAACTCTCTAAATTATTTTAAACATAGATTAAAGAGGTGGTCACTGCTAACTGCAGCTGTTTTGCCAATTCTATTACCACTTAACTCCTTAAAAAATCTATGACCTAATATTGTTGGGTTTTGTGAACAGTACAATCTAGGGTATTATGTTATACCTAAATGTTGTGTTGTGCCGCTGTCTTGTGTTGTAGAATATGTTGTTGTTGAGACTTGTTGTGCTGTGTTTTTCTGTTCACCTAATGATGTTGCTGTGATTGGTTCTTATTGTTGCCTGGTTATCTGTTAGATCCTGCTATCTGACCCTGTCTTGACTAGGTCACACTTGTAAAAGAGGTTTTAACCTCAATGTGACTTCCTAGTTAAAAAAAAAAAAGAAAAAAAAGTAAAATAATTTAGTATATTTTATGAGACTGAATTAAATACTTGCCGGTCACTTTCCTTTCTTTAAGGGTGGTGCCCCGAGGTAAATTTAATGTGAGTTCAATTCTCTTTGGATAACAGGCTGCAGTTCAGCTTGTACGGAAAGTCTCCAGAGCAGCGAGTTTTTACCGTACGTAAGCTTCTGTCCACAGCAGCCGAGTCCAGTCATTCTAGTATACAGTAACAGTCACCACCTGCCCCGCATAAAGCTGCTAAACTTTACATGAATGATGACGGTTAAAGCTGTCATTGTTGGACTCCGAGTATGTGGCTGTGGCTGTGGCTATTTGATGAAGCAATGCGCGCTAGTGCAGACCTGCCGTATATCAAACCTAAAAAAGAATCAGTACAGATATTTTTGTAGTTAATTTTTTTAAGCACTCGTGACCCTTTAAAATAAAACTGTGTCTACTTAATATTTCACCAGAAAAAAAAGCAAGGATTACAGAAAAGTTGCTAAAAAGAGAATACAAATGTGTAGGGGGACACTGTTCCTATGCCACATTTACCTTGTGACCCCCAGGTAACATTTTCTGTCAGGGAACAACTTTTCTCTGGAAACACTTTTCTTCTCCTCTGTTCTGTTTCACATTTGTTTGCAATGAATAAAACGTCTGAATACCGCAATGCCAGATTCAAGTCCCTCGCGGGCCATGGAGAAAGCCAGGGATTGCAGATATATTTTTGTATCATGACTGTTATCTGAGGCCCAAATTGTCCAGTGTTGACCCTGCATCAACAAAATCAAACAAAGTCTTCTACTGTGCCGACTTCTATTTTAACCTGTCCTTTCTTGTGAGATTGCACCAAAATATCTCCCATCTACACTTTTCAATAAACACTGGTGCAGTGAACCATAAAGACAGGAATGCAGTCTGTAAAAACAAAAGCATGTGCCAGCTGCAGTGGAAAAAGTTAAGGAGATTTGAAGATAATATTAACT